GCAAGGAATAATATGACGGACAGATGGCGGTCGTCTTCTTCTTGGGGAGTTGGAGGATGGCGTAGCGGATCACGCTCACGTAGGCTTCGACGTCGCCATAAACGCTTTGGACCACCTGGGCTGGAGTTAAATGAGCAGTGCCAAACGCCGCTTCATCCTTGTAGAAGAACAAGGTCGCCAAAAGCTTCACGCATTCGTCGACATCCACGGCCCACGTGCCGTCCTGCTCTTCGAAGAACAACGGCTTATCAAACAAACCTTCCGTCCGTACGCTCTTAAGGACGAGTACCCACATCTCGTCGAACGGCAGCCCGGAAATTGCCGGGAGGTAGTCACAGCCCGACTCCAGGAAGGTTAGGGCGAACAGACGGACCTTGTCGTTGTCCGTGGGAATCCAGCTCCCGAAGGTCAATGGCGGCCACGCGGACTCGCTTCCGTCCTGGAGTTCGCAGATGCTGGCGAACACTCCGTTCATCCACAGGAACTTGGTCTCGCCACCCACGACCCTCAGGACTGTCACATCAACTGCCCTCTCGCCACGGGGCGTGAGCCAACCAGTTGTCATCGCCAGTAGAATGATCATCCATAGGTCCGTGTCTACCGATGAAACGACCCACTTGTCGAAGCTTCTCCCCCAGTACTTCTTCGCCCAAGCGATGAAGTGTATCACGGAGAGCTCCGCCTCGCCGATGTCTGGCCCACGCTGTCGCTCGACGCCCTCGATCGTGTCGGTTCTGTCTCGAAAGTGAAGGAGTGGTTCAGTTTCGGGAAGCGCCTCCCCGGCACCTTCCCTTGCCATCTCGAGACCTATGCCCTCGGCATCTACACCAGGTGGATGATCAGCACTCAGATCAGGCTCACCTCCAACGCCATAGAATGCGACGATTCCATTCGGCTTGGTGTCGCCGGTCCAGACATCATCAGCTAGCACGCGCGTGGCGAGGTGGGCGGCGATTCCGTCCCGCGCCGCCTTGCCATCGGCTCGAAGCCATGACCCATACTGTAACGAAGGAACTGGGTCCGTTGACTTCGGGTCGAAGGTCCTAGAGCACTCACCAATTTTCTCGCTTCTCCCAAGCTGTTCGTGTCCTTTGATTACGGGCACCAGTTCCTGTCGGTCGTAGCACACCACGAGTAGCTCCGTCGACTGCAGCCACTTCGACAACAGCTGATTCTTGAAGTAGTCGATAATCCCGCAGTTCCCTTCTCGAGATATTCCGGGTGCACCCCTTGGTGGATAGACACGGGGAGATCCACGCCATGAGCGTCGGCTTCGTAAAACGGGTCGTCTGCGAATCCATCGGCACAATGCTCTCTGACCCATTTCCCTGGACCTGCCGCCTTGTTGGCGTGCTTGGCTCCTGATACGTTAAAAGGAGAGATTTCCAACAGGGGTGTATGGTGGTGGTGGTGGTGGTGGGGGGTGAACACAATGCGATGCGGTATGCATTACGGTAATAACAGTCAAAACACGGGCGTGGAGAATGGGTGAACTTCGGCTGGGAGCGAGAGCTCGAGATGACAACGCTCTTCAGCGCTTAATCTGTACAGTCAGACTAACCCGCTACAGAGTCAATACATATCTACTCGTTTAAATTGCGCACGCTCTCTCCCTCACCTCCCGTCGCGTTCGCCATGCTGTACGGCGTGGCCGCTCCTATGGACGCCACCATTTCCAGCATCTGGTCTTGTGTCACCACACCCCCGCCTTCTCTGGCGGCATCAAACATGTTCAGCGTGAGGGCCTTCCACTCTTGGCCCCCAGCGTAGGAATTGCCGACGGAATCCTTCAGTGCAGACGACCTCCCTTGACTCTTCGTGGCCTTGTTGGTGCTGTTCCTAGCCGGGATGGAGAAAACCTTCTTCTTGGTCACGCCGTTTAGTTGTTTCTTCTTGAAGACGTAGTACAGGACACACTCGTGCATTTTCGCACGAGCTTTGACGGCCGCGTCGATAATCTCTTGCCACTTGACCGGCGGAAACACTCTCCCGTCCAACGCCACGACCTTGTCTTTGCCATCGTCGCCTTTAAATGCCGGGCTCTCTCTCAAGCAGTCCATCGCCGCCCTGACTGCTGGCGCACGCTTCACCGCCAACTCTCTGCAACGGTCCCTTTCTGTGTGTGATTTCTCGATGAAATGCGATTCGATGTCGAAGATGGCCACTTCACGAAGCTGGGCAATCGGTTCCAGCTTTTCTATCGTGCTCGAAATGACCCTTTTCGTCAACGTCTTGTAGAGACGATTGGACACCTCCTGCCGCTCGTCCAAGCCGATTCGCGCAAAAGTGTCAGCGCCGAGTGAGACGGAGAATAGCTGGGATACGACCCTCATATCATTGCGCGAATAACTCGACACCTCCGTCAGATGATCTACCGCGAGGAACTGGTACTTGTCGTTGCCGGTGATGAAAAAAATGGGGGCGATACGGCGAAGGCCTCAAGCCCCGGGTCATGTGTCATGTTTGACTCGTACCATCATGGCAAAGCACCGAGTCTATTTTTAACTTCAAGACAGACGTACTTGCCCAATCGAAGCCCAGATTTTCTATAAATTGTTATGATAGCCTGACCCTGACCTAGCGTGGTTGTATCGGGCATTTCCATCGCATCTTTGGATGGGGATCGTGTATCCAGTGGATGTACATGCGCAACATGCACCAGCATGCGTTCGAACCCCCAGGCGTGGGCTCTCCTGAAATTTGAATTTTGAACACACCATGCTTATCTCCTGCCGCACTAAATCGCCTCAAACCTTTTGCATTAGGTGTCAGTGAGACCTAGGTATATGTCGGCAGCATAAGTAGGCTGCAAGACGCCAACCTTGCGTAGAGGTCGGTTCGCGTGTGAAGCTTCCTCGCTGATTTTGGAGCTGCTGCAGTGTGGTACGCTCTGGCTAAAGATCAAATTTCTCACCCTACCATGTGTTTCTGGGCGTATAAAACATACCCTACTGTGCTCTTGCATCGTGTTAACATATCTCTCGTGTTGTCTGGGCAGATTAGCTTCTGGTTTGCCCTCTAGAGCCGGTCCTGGGTGTGGAGGTCTGTTGCGCCGCGAGCCGCCTCATCAGAGGGGTTTCCACAGGGGGCTGCTTTCCCGTTGGAAGCTTTTTTTCTCACACTTACTTTTTTTTTTTTTCAGTCGTGCAGCACTGCCCCATACTCTACGTTTTGTCGTACGTGGCCCCCTTCCGAGGTACGCAAGCTTTGTTCCCTCTGGCCATGTCGCCCGTCTCAAACATCAAACAACGATTGCCGTAGTCCGGGCCAGTCTGGCCTCGCTAGGCCCTTACATTGAATGCTTCTGCACCCCCCGCCATCACAAGGGGAACCGCTGTGCTATTTTTAGCGCATGGCAGTAGCAACAGCAGGCAGCGCTTCCGAACACCAGACAGCGATTTACGTTGCACTTCTACGGAGAACGGGCGAGACTGACATTCAACGACGTTTCTACACAGTTGAGCACCAGGGTCGCCAGCCGGGCGCCATACACGTCGCGAGGCAAGGGAGGGGGGTATGCCGCGGTAATGGACAATGGACGAGAGGCAGGAACTAGTGAGTCATTTGAGCCAGTGATCGCCGCGAGCGGACGGAGTACATGGAATGGCCGTTCGACGTCAAACGGTCGTTGTGGCAGCACCGGCAGCGGTAGCAGCAGTGGCAACACTGGCCGCGGAGATCCACAAGCAGGCTCTGATATTCTCCTACAGCAGCCACAAGAGCAACGGCAACAGCAGGCCCAGCGGGTTGATGACAGTAACGTGCAGCAACACGACCAGCAAGCCAAAGCTCCCATCATCAAGCACTTGCCGGGCGAGGAGAAGAGCAGCGAGAATGGCGCAGGTGGGGACGACAGCAGCAGCAGATGCAATGAGAAGGGAGAGGAAAGGCGTGAGGTGGGCTGGGCACCAACAACGACGAACAAGTTCTCGCCAATGGCGGAGGCGGCAGCAGCGTCTTTCGTCCTGAAAGCAGATGACAGCGCCCAGGCAAAGGACAACGCAGGCAAGCGCGTGTCGTCCCTTACGCGCCACTCGTCCATGCCGCTGTTGAGCGCAGGACCGCACTCCTCCCACAAGCGAGGAAGCTCGGCAGGGGCTTCCCTGACGCCCTTGCTCGGGCCGAACGAGCCAACGCAACACGATCAGCAGGGACAGCAGCAGCGGCGGCACCAACCGCAGCAGCACAACATGGTCTTGATGACGCCGAGGAGGGGGGGCCGCGGCACGGCCACGACAACACCGAACTCCCGGCCCCGAAACCGCAAGATGCCCTCCATGCTCGGCATGCTGCAGAACGCGCAGGACCAGGCAGCGTCACCCGTGTCTGCGCTTAGCAGCAACTCCCACTATCTCAGCGACGGCAGCCTTGTTGTAGGGGCCGGTGATAACGAGTCTTCGGCCGCTGCTGCCACCGCTGATAGGGGTGCCACCGCTGGAAACGATCCAGCGGGTCCAAAGCGCACCTCAAGACGCATGAACATGGTGAGTTTTGGTGGGGGCGGGGGGACATCACAAACCACCACGCCCGCGACCGGGAACAAAGGACGGGAGCGACCGCTGTTGACCCCGCTGTCCATTAACCGGACGCCCAATTTCTACCTCGAGGAAGCGACCCCGGCGGTCGGCCCTACAAAGCGACTACGGGACAAGTCCGTGCGTTTCATCCAGCGGTTGCCGGGGCCCAGGCTGCTCATGCAGGGTGAGTGAAGTGCTAAGAACAGGGACCTGCGGCAAGTGTGAGAAAGGGATCTATTGGGTACAGTTATGCCCACCAGACTTTCGCCCCGTGACAACACGGCTCGTTTTGTTTCGGACTGACCTACACACGATCCATAGAGTGTCTGCATACGCACCGTTTTCATGGAGATTGCAACAGGCCAGACCAGAACACGTCGTGCAACACTCTGAATGAACGGTCGATCGGCGATTCGACCCTCTTAACCCGCCCCGTCGTCTTCCCGCGTCTCCACGAAAACCCCGACGTATTCTGTCATAATACTCGCGACAGTCCTCGAGGAAGAAATCGACCCCAAGAACGTGCGGCTCACGACTCAGTCCGAGCCTGTCATCCTGATGGAAGTGATGCCGGCGGCCCTCGTGGTCTCCCTGCTGGTCTTGACCTACCTCGTCTTCGCCTGCGGTGTGGTCCTCATCGTGCGGTTCCACCTCCGCGGGACCTCTACCCTCACCATGGGTCCGGGGGCTGGGAACGGGGCAGGCGAGCTCTGCGCGTGGGGCTCATCTTCCACGGCCACCGCTACCACCAGCCGGGGAGAAGGAGACATTTTCATCATCGGAGCTGAGGGCCCCGACCCGCACTCGCCGTCCGCCGCGGGATGCACGGTGCTTTCGCCGGGCCTGTCGGAGCTGTCCCTCGATTCACCCCTTCTGTCGTCATCATCGTCGACCTCGTCCTCCTTGACGGATGCTGATGAGGAGCGGTACGGGGCGGTGTTTTCCGGCCAGTTTTCGGGCATGACGGACCTATCCGGGAGCGTATCCCTGCACGTATCGTTTGCCGACACCGAGGTACAAGAGTCTCTGCCCGACCCGGCCACAGTGGACATCGCTTTGGAGGCGTGTGCGGCAGGGGTGACGGCCGGGGTACGCGACAGCACCAACCAGGCGGTTCTGGAGTGGGGCGTCTGCGAGGAGGGCTGGCAGCCTGTGTTGTTCCAGGCAAGAACGTTTTTTGGCCGTCTTTCTACCCCCTTGTACGTCGAGCGGTCGTTTCCGTGGTTTTGCATAGCTTTTTGAAGTTCCGGGGAGATACTGGTTTCTTCCTTCCGCCGCTCTTGCTGCTCCTTTGTAGAGAGAACGGTGGCGATATGTTGGTTGGTGATCGAGTCCTCCGCTAAATTTCCCCCCATGTTCCCTTTTTTTGTTGGCCAGGAGGACATCTCCGCTCGAGTCCGCAGCCTTCCCGAAAATCGCGGGTACACCATGTTCAACTTCTACCAGAACCAGGAGACCATCCGGGGGCAAGCTCTCGTTCGCCAGTATCGGGTCCAGGTGTGCTTCGCATGCTTATTGCACCGCTCCCACAGCCATTGTGTCGCCCACGCCCATGTTCTCGGCCAAGGCTATCGCGCCACCCTTAGGGCGATGACCGTGTGCTCCAATGGAATTTTGAAGCCTCGTGTTTGCTCTTTCGAACAATGGGTAGGGGCGCATTCTTCTCCAAGTTTCCGACTGCTTCAGGCTCTCTCTCCACACTGTCGTCCCTCGCAATTTCTCCGCCCCCCCTCTCCTGGATGCATTAGGTTGGCTTTGTTTCATCCACTACGAGCTCTAGCAGCACCGGCGGAAGCAGTGGCAGCACCGAGGAGCCTTTCAGCTTGAGCGAGGCTAGGTGGTCCCTTGAGTACGAAACTGGCGCGACAGAGGAGTGGGCGAAGATTGTCCTAGCGGTCGTTCTGGTGTGCTGGGTGCCTGTTTGGCTGGCATGGTGCTGGACTGTGTTCTACAAGAACGGGGAGGGCGGGTTCAAGGTGCGCTAATTTTAGAGGGGGGGCTGGATGTATCGAGTTTCAACCGAGGGTACTCAAAGTGATACAAGCGTTAGGCATTTTTCTCAGACTTGGACCAATCCAACATGGTCCATGTCTTGGTGAGTACGCGGTTGATGGCGAGGTGAGTTGCCGTCGCCCCTCGCCGCCCCTATCCCGTCCACCAAAGCCTGTCCCTACAAACGAGCAAGACCGGCTCACGTTGTGATGTTTTGCGGGATACGTTTGTGGTGCCGACCGTCACTGAAAGAACGCGCCGTCAGGTCCACTGCTAGAACAACAAGCGTGTTGTATGATCTAGGCGAGACCGAAACCATGCCGCCCTACTCTCACCCCCTCCCGCATCCACGAATGAAACGTGCACCACCGGTCTGTGTATGTCGCTTGCTTGAACATGTATCTAGAACGCCTTGCACGAGCGGAAATGGCTGGCTTTCATGGGTCTCGCGGTGGCGCTCTACCTAAATCCGATCATGGTGGTCGGCAACTTCGTCGCTCCCGGGTCCGCATCGTGGGGGCTGGCCAGCGAGATGTCTCTCAGCGTCGCAGTGGCGGTGTTTCTGGTGGTGGCCCTCTGTATCGCTGACGGGGTGGCCAAGGACAGGGTGGGTGGCGGCGCCGGTGGGTCCCTCGGCTTCTACGTCCCTAAGGTGACGCGAAAATAGTTGTTCGTGCACGACCGCTACCTTGCCCATGGCAAGAATCTTCCAGAAATTTCGAGACGAGGGAAGGCCGCTCGGTGTACCGCGCTGTGTGTACCGCGCTGTTGTGTGTTGCTGTTGGCCGAGGCTTACTAGCGTAGGTGCAGTACAACCAGCCATTGGAGCACGACCTCACGCGCCGCAGTGGAGATGGTTAGGGATCTGTAGAGATGATTCCAGAGATATGCGAACTTGGGGAACCGTCATATCCTCTAAACCAAAATCACCGTTCGTTCGTCTTCAACTACCGTCCAACCTCAAACTCCTCGTTCCGTTCCATCGGGACGGGATCAGCACAGCCATATTTTTCGCAGGATACGTCGAAAGGTTGGGGAGCGTTGAGAGCTTCAGAAGTAGGTGCCTAGGAACCAGCGTGATCGTCCGGCTTTAGAGATGGGTCATAGATTGTCGAGTGTACAGCCACGGAAACCCCTAGAATTCGTACACCCCCACCACCCCTCTCCACAATATTTTTCTTGTGTCTGTGTCTTTGTATGAGTGTTCATGTGTGGTTTGATGCGGTGATGTTGGCTGACAGGTGGTGTTTGGCGTCTTGACCCTGGCGCTTATGCTGCTGGTGGACCTCACGAGCTTCCCCACCCTCACTGGGATGGATCGCGGCTCTCTGCTGGCGGTGCAAAACTGGCCTGAATCCCAGCGGCACGCTTTTGCAGGGGTGGGTTGCTTGGGTCGGATTTGTGGGACAACAAAAGCATGTGCTTCTTGAGAAAGGCCGGGAAATGTGCTTCGCAAGGGGGGGGGGGGGCGTCAGGCTTTTGTTTCCTGTGCGAAACCCGACGTGGAGAGGGAAAAAAATAGTTTCACCCAAAGTTGATTTGTTTGAGATGTTTTCTTGCGTTTCGTTTTGTTTTCGAGGAACAGGGTCGTGTGTCAGTCGTTCAACTTTCAGAGCCAAGCGCCTATAGCCCAGTCATTGAGCATCCTCGCAAAACTACTCTTGGCAGTTCGTGGGTTCAATCTCTGTCGGCAGGGAGCGGTTCGCAATTCGGCAATGGAAGGCGATCATTTTGTGAGTATACCAATCAGAGGTAAAAGACTTGTGAACCCTTCTCGCGTTCAGCGTCGATGACGACAGACGACTGTTCTCGTAGAGTAGATCGCAGATGAGACACGGGCAGGGGAGGACATACGTGGTACTTCGTAGATTTCTTGAGCAATGCCACTGCAAAGACAACTACAATCGCGTGTCTATTCCGCTTGCATCGTCGTTATCGTCGGCATCGACATCATTCATCACAGGTGGCGTCCGCGCGTATCTTCATGGTGATGCTGTGGGCGGTATGGATGTTGTGCCGCATCTACATCTCGGGCTGCCTCTTGAGGAAGCTTCCCTACGTGCCGAACCGATACCAGCAGCTCTCCTACAGATTTTTCGCCCTCCAGGTGTTCGCTCGTTCATATTGCTCTTGTCGTATTCTTGTTGCTCTTGTTGCGGTGCTGATGTTGATGCTGCATTACATGTGTGGTACATGTGTTGTCACCATGCTTACTTGTAAGCAAGTCTTGCGCGGGCAATTCCACACACGCAGTAAGTGCCGTCAACCCCACCATTTACAACTTCAAGTCCGAGGAGAGCAAGCGCTTTAAAACGTAAAACACTTTTTTTCGGTGTCTTTTCTCACGAGCAAGACGGGAATTTCCATGTGATTGTTTTTTTCTGTCCTTTTGGCAGGCGTTCTTGCTGGGTATCGTGTACGTGACGTTCGCTCTTTGGCGGCTGATCGACATCCTCAACGACGACTTGGGCGGAAACACGGTGGCCGCCGAATTCATGCTCTTCATTAAGACCAGACAGGTATCCGCCTGTCTACCGTATCGGCATCTACTGGGCTTCGGTGGCGTCTGTGATGCCCTCTCTGTTGTTTCCGTAATGCTGGGTAAGCACAAATCGCGATGTTCTCTCACCTGCGCCACCTACTACTGTAGTCGGTCCCGCTGCAATGCCTGAGAGCCACCCTCGCCCAAGTTTTCTCCTGTTGCAATGTTTTGGGTATTTGTTCGTGTGCCTTTGTGTAGTTACAGCCACCCTTGTACGCGCATGTCCCAGCTGAGATAGAACAAAAAGTGTGGGGCATGTCGCGGCTAGTGCTGCGGGGTTTTGTAACACGTTTATGGACACTTCGGGTACTATTTACCGCCCCCGAGTCCCTGGCTGACCCAACAGGAACCAGTCGCAAACTACTTGGGACTTCGAAAATGCCTGATGTTTCGGTTCGCATGGAGTGTTCGTGTTACTTTCTCTTCACCTCTACTTGTTTGTCGATCTGTGGTTCTTTTTGCCAGGACCACCTGGGGTCGGTGTCGACCTTGTGTGCGTACGCCCTGCAGCTGCTTCTGCTCTTCCTGCCGTCGTCGTTCAAGGAGTCGAAACTCTTCAGGGACATCGCTGTAAGCTGCCTCGCGTGTGTGTGGGAGTGTGCGCTCTCCGTCACCTGTCGTTTCATTAGCACCTCTTCCGCACAGACAACATTAAAAATTCTTTCCTGTTTCCTCTGAGGCGAACACCCTTGTCCACCCGTGGGTGCAGACTATTTTGCTCACTTTACCGTCTCGATCGTCGTCGTGGTGACGGCATGAAGGTGCGCTTCGTCTACTTCGAAGAACAAGTGCCGGTCGCTAAGAGGAAGAGGAGGGAGGGAGGAGGAGCAGGGGGGGTCGAGGGCAACGCCGGCAGTGGCCAAGAAGGGGACGAAGACCACATGTTCCGGGGCGGAGCCTTGAATCCGTGGGATACCCCGAAAATGTCCCCGGGGGACGTCGGGAAGGAAGACGAGGAAGACAAACCTCTATTCTGCGTAGAGACTGCCGCGTGGTGAGCACTGAGGGGTAAGGTATGGTCGTTTACTTCCACGGGGGAAGAACGGGAGTGGAGGCTACCATGATGAGAAGAATCTCCTGATCCTCACAATTTCTGATGAAATCACATCGCCAGTGCCACTCCCTTCCATGCCGATCCCGCCAGTGAAGGCCAACCGAAATCGGTTTCCGTTATCACTCCCCTGTATTTTCGTGCCTCACACCGTCTCACTCGTATGGTGTCCCGCAGTAATTCCTGCAGCCCCACTTACATATCATGGTTGCTTCGATACCTCGATTGAAACCTGTCCACCCGCCACGCGACCTCGCACTCTCTAGCCCCCACGGGCACGTAGATGTGGAAAAAATGTGCAGAGCACTGTACAGTCTACCGCACTGTTCGGGCTCTACCTCTACTTGACGCAAATGCGGTGATCCGTCTCGTAGGAGATGCGTTGTCAATGATAACAGACTATACGTGCGCCTCCCTTACGCGTTTCCCTGCCGCCCTCCTCTCGGAAAAAAACCCGTCCACGTCGACTTCGAGCAGGCTCTTGGAACTGGCGTGGGAAGCATACAACGACCCAATAGGGTTCGAGAACCCAAACAACTACCACTTCGGGGTGGCGGACTTCGCGAGGATGGGGTTCGAGCTGGTGCGGCACATTCACAACGTCCAGCACGACACTCACTGCTTCATTCTCAAGGACGTGCCGAGAGGGGTGCGTAGTTTTCGTGTTTATTGAAATTCAGAGCGTGGTAATTTTGGGAACGATTTTCTGCAAGGAGTACTTGTTGTCGCAGGTAATGTTTTGTTGTAGCGGGCACATTTTGTTTCTTCGGGTTTCTCTCGCGCTGCCATCGTTGTGTTGCGGAAATTGGTACCTCTCCTCGTTTGTGTTGCGGCTGTTGTGTCGTTGCATTGTTTTGTTTTATATTGAACATCAATCGGTTGTGTGTGGGTAGTGGTCTTCGTTTTGGTGGTGCGGGTGTTCTCTCGGCTAGAACGGCTGCTCACGTGCTCACGGTAGCCTCTTCCGTGCGATGTTGCTTTCGCCATCTCCCTCCCTCTCTCTAGAAACAACCATCCCGGGTGCCACAGATAATATTCCCGCCGCACGCGTGCATGCTTTCAACCCCCTCTCGAGAAGGGGACGAGGATCAACCCTCAAGAGTCGTTCATATCAGCGATCGAGGTTGCAGTGCGTTGTTGGTTCACTCGCAAACGAACAAGGGCATGCACAGCATTCTCATTTCTGCATCCACCAGCAATTTCGTCAGCCTCGCGAGTGCCTCCTCCCTGCTAGCGGACGGCTTGTCCTTTCCTAGCCTTTAATTTGTCTCGTTCTCCGCCTTTTCTTTGGGCCGTCGATGCAGCGTCTCGTGGTAACGTTTCGGGGATCAGTCGGGACCAAACACTGGATGGACAATCTGAGGTATGCTGATCCGGCCTGATGAAGATAGTTGTATATGTGAGGTTGCCTCGGTATGGATCATTTGAACGCACTCCTGTGCCGAGCGGGGACGACAATTTGGAGATATCTGTTTCCAGTGTCAATGGTCGCGGTGTGAAGCAGTTCGAGGTTTGTGTGTAAGCATTGATCCTGGGGTGTACACGTGCAGACCGTTTTTCCGAACATGGAGGTTGCAGAGACACCGGGGTGCAGCAGCAAGCGCATGGTAGCACATCATGGCGAAAAATATTCACATCCCCCGTGAGAATTTTTTGTGGGAAGACCAGGCGGGGTCACAAAGGACGAAGACCACGGAGCATTGCTTTCAACCGTCCTTCTGTTCCGCTCGTATTTCGCGGTTCTGCAAGAAGGGTTCAAGCCTTTCCCTTCCCTCATCAACCGAGAAGAAATTGCTTCGGAATGTGTCATATATCGAACAGTTAGAGTAAACAGTAGTCCTTCTGGTACCGGGTGGGACGATTTACGGGCATCTCCCAAAACTCCCTGGTATCTAAGTTATGAATCCCATCAAGTCGATTATTGAATCACGTGTCGCCAACGATGTGGTTGCGAGTGCCGCACGATGAATCGTTCGGCGCTGCCGAAGAACGACACCCTGCGAGCGTCACGCTTCCATGACCTATCCAACTCTTTGTCCTTGTTCGGAAATACCTCTGACATTCTTTCTACAATGTGGTGTGATGGCTTCTCATCCGTGTTTTGTGGATGCTATGGGGTAGCGGAGAGTCCTCAGTAGAGTCTGCCAGGTGCCTGCCATAGTGGACAAGGATGGGGAATCCAAGTTGTTTCCCCCTCTGGATCGTGCCGGGGGCAGGCTCTGGTGCCATGAAGACTCTACATGCAAGATTTATGGCACATTGCGGCGCTGCGGAGTCATCACGCACAGTACCTATGTTCCACCTCGTACTTCCGCCCCACCCAGATTTTTGCAGACGGAGTTCAACATGGATCAGATGATGCCGAAGGGTCGGGAGCACGAAGCGCCGGAAGTTTTGGCCGAGGACATCGATATCCGGGCCGCGGAAGCCTTGCACGGTGTCGTGGCGCACTTGGCGTCTGCGAGTGAAGAGGTGAGTAGGTGTGAATAAATGGCGGGGGTGTACTGGTTGGCACGAATGAACACCGTAAGATTTGAACAACACATCTCGCCTCCGTACACTACCGGAACGGAAAGCGGGAGGGGGTGTATTCACGATCATGCATGCTGTAGAACAGGCAGCATTAGTAGCATCCCCGCACTGCCGGGACGACAAGTCTCACTACGTTTCACCAACGACAGTATCAAATGAATAGACAAAAATACAGTGGCGACAGCAGCAATCCTACCGGCGACCCAGCGACCGGGGTCGCTAATGCCATTGGTGGCCTCAAGGAGTACGACCGGAGGAACCCGGCCGACTTCGGAGAATGGATCAAGCAGCTTTGGGTCGTCTTAGGCGTTTTCCGTTCAGTCGGCACCACCACGACCACCTTCGAACGCTATACGACGGCAAACGAACGTTTGTTCCTCAGCCAAACTTGCCAGTTGAGCTACCGGCAGCCCTTTAAATCCAGAAAACGAAGATGGCAGCGAGGTCAGCGGGGACGGACAAGCGGCATTCAAAGAGCTATACAACAGCAACAAGGTCACAGACAAAGTTACCCGCGCCACCATGGAGGAGACACTGGATACCCTGATGGAACCTGGGGAACACCCAGATGACGACTTCTGCTACCTGCCGAAAATATGGGGAAGTAGTTTCTGCCCGCTACTTGAAGGACATCTGCATCAATGGGTTTACAGACAACTAAAGGACGCCATGATGTTACCGGGACCCGGCGTTCGACATCCATCAAGTGCGTCGACCATGCGACACATGTTTCTTGAGTAAAGCTCAGTCAGACGCGTGGCTTCGCTATGAACCTCAGCCGAGAAGGGGGTGGGAACCGCCCTCAACATGTACCACGCCGAAGGGAATGTCAGAAAAAATCTGCGCGAGAAGAAAGGGGGTGAATTTCTGCTCATTATCAGTATGGAAGGAAAGCAAGTCAGCGCCGAAGCCAGTAACATGGACAAGATCAAGGAGTTCTGTTTGTGGTACGTGGATATGAGTCCGATCTGTGCATCCTCTGTGGGGGATACGCGTATGGGAAGTATGGGTGTGATGGGTATGTATGCGGTTGGGGTCCAAGTGCGGGGCCTCCGGGAGCACACGGCGGTGTGCTCCCGGCACTTGCCTGAGGGGCTTGCGTGTTGAATACCAGCTTGCCTGAGGGGCTTGCGTGACGGATATATATAATACATGTTCCTTTTTCATCTGCTGTTCCTGGGATATCATAGTCCCCAGTCTCAACACCACAGACCGCTGAGGGCGGCAGTGCACTAACACAAGCAGCAGCGGCGTCCCCGGTCGCCGCGTTGACGTTGGGTGTCCAGACGGCCGCAGCGGTGGCGGCGTCGACATCGGTGACGGGGGTAACGGCAGCGGCGACAGCAGCAGCGGCGTCCCCGGTCGCCGCGTTGGCGTCGGGTGTCCAGACGGCCGCAAGGGCGGCGACGAGGGGTTGGATGAAATCTGGAGTGGAGCCCCGACGCACCCTTTCGACCCCGAGAAGGCTGAGGGGGACGTGAGCAGCAGCAGCAGCAGCGGCAGCTGTAGAAACAGCGGCGAGGACAGTGGCGGCGATGGGGGCGGGGACGAGGGGTTGCATGAACCTGGAGTGGAGCCCCGACGCACCCTTTTGATCCCGGGAAGACTGAGGAGGAAGTGAGCTGCTGCAGCAGCAGCAGCAGCAGCAGCGAGGAAAGCGGCGGTGATGGGAACGGGGGTGAGGGGTTGGATGAAACCTGGAGTGGAGCCCCGACGCACCCCTTCGACCCCGGTAAGACATCTTCGCGTGGCGCGAGGAGACGGGGGGCGGTACCAGGGCCTTCGATAGGGGCAGGAACGGGAGTGGCAGCTCCGGCGGCGGCAACGGCGGCAACGGTGGCAGCCGCAGCCGCGACGGGAGTGGCGGCGTCGGCCAGAGCTCCGGCGGCGACACCGGCGGCAGCAGGAGCAGCGACGGGAGTGGTGGCTTCGGCCAGAGCTCCGACGGCAGCAGAAGACGGCAGCGGCGGTTTTGGCCAGAGCCCCGTCGGCGGCAGCGGCGACAACGGCGGCGGTGGTAGAGGCGGCAGCAGCGACGTTACCGGCAGCCGTGTTGGGCGCTGGAACTCATGACGGTCGTGGCGGCGGGGGAACGGCAACGGCGGCGATGGCAGCGGCGGCAGCAGCGGTGGCGCCCTCGAGTCGACCGCGAACGGGGAGGACACGGTGACAGCGACGACCTCACCTTGTTACAGCCAAGTGGGAAATCATGTGAAACGTTTACGACTTATTTTGTGAGCAGGCATGGACGTTTTAGCTTCGCCATTTGGCTTCGTATTAATTTTTTTGTTCTGTTTTTCCCTTGCAAGCGCACCGTGCACTTTGATGCAGAAAACACGTATGCCACGGCGTGTGCGATTTTTTTTTTTTTCTGTACTTGGTTTCATGATAATAAATGTACGCTGCGACAAAGATAAGCATTGCCACAACCAGTGGAATAGGAAGCAGCACGTGTTTCTTTTTTTTTTTTTTTTCTTGGTTCTTCGTATATTTTCAGTCGCGTTTTACCTTGCAGCTGAATGCTTCATATTATTTCCGTATTCTTTGGAGGGAGTACGTTCAGTCGCGTTTTTTATTTTAGTACACATGTTTTGCTGCTCTTGCATCGAAAATCATGGGGGGATGTCATGTATGACCATGATTCTAGAGGGCATGAACAGCAATCGAAATGGTTCGTTTTCTGGTCTTGTCTGTTTGTGTTTTAGGTGAACGGCAAAGCAGGGGGGACGTTGACATCGAGATATTTGCTCGGGGTGAATTTTGGGAGCTGACAGGAGGGGGGCTGTTTGCGTGGATGCTTGCTTATATTTTCTGTCGTTTCTTGGACAACAGCGACGGTACCGATTAGCGGGTGCGCGCTGTTTAGGATTTGGTCCTTGGACACTATATTCGAGGAAGGATTTGACATGTTTTGACGATTAATGGTTGGAGCCATTGTGCTTTCCGAATTATCGTTTTGATTGGTCAAGAAGTTGAGTTTTTGTTTTGTTTGAGGATCTGGTGCCAACTCTTTTGAATTTGTTTTTTCCAGAAATGTCCGTTTTCGTGCTGACGCTTTTCTGATGTAGCACAAATAATTGTTGAGGTCTTTTTCTGAGAATGATTCTTTTGTGTCAACGGTTTGAGATTATTTCCAGAGACGAACGCGTTGGATTCGTGAATAACCTGATGGAGACGCTTTTTGTTGAATGCGTAGCCAGTTTTGTTGAATATGTTTTCTCAAGGGGTGTTTTTCTGTGTTGGCTGATTGCGCGTGAAGGGGTGCAAGATCGTACATCGTATCAAGTAGGGGGGCTGTTTGTGGTGTACTTGGATATGAGTCCGATCTGTGCATCCTCTGTGGGGGATACGCGTATGGGAAGTATGGGTGTGATGGGTATGTATGCTGTTGTGGTCCAAGTGCGGGGCCTCCGGGTGAGCACACGGCGGTGTGCTCCCGGCACTTGCCTGAGGGGCTTGCGTGACGGATATATATAATACATGGTACTTTTTCATCTGCTGTTCCTGGGATAACATAGTCTCCAGTCTCAACACCACAGACCGCTGAGGGCGGCAGTGCACTAACAAGTTCGACGGAGGGTTTGTGTTCACCACCAACCGAATATCGGGGCATATGTTCACACCGGACGCTCATCACACAACGCTGGCCGCGCTATGCTTCGAGAGTGGTGCATCCAACATATTTCTCGACCCCAATATCGCCCTAGGCCTTCAAGACGAGATGAAAACACCAGAGCCCAGACTTAAGCCCAGGTAAACGGCAGCTGATCACAGGTTATGCCGACCGGAACCGGCGTTGTCCATCACATTGTGAGATAGCAACAAGATCAACTCCCGTGCACCTTGCAGCAAAGGTCCGGACGTTTAGCACAATTTGTTCTCGCCAACGAAGCAACTGGGAGACGGGGTTTAAAGGTCATCCTCGAGCCTGGGAAACCCCCTCGTTCACGTGGACGGGACCGTCATATCTCTCAACGAGGACAGGGAGGATCAAGGGATAAGCACCTGTGTGGCTCCACTGGGACGACGTATCGAGCATATACGATGCGACGAGGGCAATTACACCGGGTTGAAAATCAAGGCTCTCTTGCTCCGACTCCGGCATCACTGCTTTGGAACACACCGCCACGTGCCACAACTGAACGGGGCATCAGAGAGACGTGCGGACCCTGGAGAAGGTCACAAGGTTCAGATGAAGAACTGGGAGTTTCCCCCTTACTGTGGGGCGACCTGTTCTTCACATCAACATGCCTATTCAACCGGTTACCTTATTAAGCGTCGGGAGGAAACACGCCCCGTATGAGATGTTTAACAAGGCGGCAGACATGTTCGGATAGGGCAGTCTTCCACTACGAGACAATACACGAGCAAGGTGGATGGCAGGGCGTTTCGGCAAGAATCTGTGAGCTTAGCCAGGACGGAAAGCGTGCAGGATCTTCAACCTTCCAACGGAGCTGAGGTGGAAGCCGGAACGTCACATTCAGTGACACCACAGCGTTCTCTGCTATCGAGCGTCGCCACCGAGGATTGCGGCTATGATGGAGGCATTTCTGATTCACATTAGCCCAACGCTGTAGACCGACTGCGAAATACACGTGATGCATTCGACGGATGGGAGTACCGCTACATCACGGACCAACTCGCGAGCTCGAGCTTCCGCGTCAGGATATTCGGACCACGATACACAAACATGCAGTGCCAGAGAAACTGCTGTAGCGGGAATGAGCCCAATCTTCCACGGCGGAGGTGGAACCACCCATCGCCACCCCTGGTACCGGGGACCGCTCCGGACAAACCTGCGGTCCTACAATATGGAGTTTCGTCATCCGGAGCAACATCCTCGGCCTCGGACGGGGTCGGGATTTTCAGCTCTGCGCCGATGAACGCGGACTGCATCGGACCCCTGAGCGTAGGAGCTGAAGCACAAGCACGCCTCTGCTCCTTTTGTTCACTCCTCGTCATGATCCAAACAATCAGGACTCGGTAGTCAGTCAGCAGCAACAAGTTGTGTATCTTCGTTCCGAGGCACACCGAGGTGCAACACTCCGTCGTGTATTGGTGCCTCTGCTGCTGTTGGCTGTGCGTCAGCCTGCAATATCTTTGTAGTACCTACAGCCGTTGCTGCCGCTACAAGGGTATCACCCTCTAACATGAAAACCTTTGTTGTTTGCATTCTGTTTCCATTTTTGTCGACAACATATACGACAGGAAGAAGAGGAGGACGGTCACGGTTTTGGCGATCACGAAGAGCCCGTTGGAGGAGCACAAGTCGCCCCATCGCCTGCCGCCGCTGCTTGCACTGCCGGCGCACCCCCGACCTCTGTACCCCCTTCGTCCCGCGTCACCGTTCCCGCCCCTGACGAAAACGAGCCATCGTCATCGTGCTCGCCCGTGAACGGACACGAACGAGCAACACCAGACGACCGTGGACGCGGTGAACTCGGGAACGGCTTATCGATAGAGGTATCCACTGGTGCCCAAAGCTGTGCCAACGGCCACAATATAAGATGCGGCGCTGGAATCGATTCTGGCAGCAGCATGGCCGGCGTCGCCGATGGTGACTTGGGAACTGCGGCGGGTGATATCGGGCTGTTTGCCTGCGAGGACGGAGACGACAGCGCTACGCACGCTATCATCAAGGGATGCATGACGAGAAGCCCGGGTGACCACGACGTCGCTGGCTCCAGTAACCACACCCCAACGGGGTATCCGCTCCCACACGGGCCATCGACCGTTCCTTTGTCGACATCGTCCACGCTGGTTTCGTCCGGAGCGTCATCGTCCGCCACGACGCGACCCGACTTCACGCGCGGTGGCCGGGACAGCCGGGCCTGCGGCATCGCGAGCAACAACGGAGGGAGGAAGGGCGGAAACGGGGGAGGGCAAGGCTTTCGCGGTGCCGGTGGCGGCGGCGACGTCGGCAGCGACACGGGTCGCGACAAGACTCCGCTTCAGCGAGCCCTTCCGATATCGCCGTCCGGAATTCGAGCCATCCTGAAAGGGTTTTCGGTGCTGCCTTGGCAGTTCAGAGAACCGTCGCGAGACGGAAATCGATGGAACTTTTCCTCCGGTACCGCGGGGGCTAGCGCTGAGCCAACGGCCGCGGGGGCAGCGGGGGCAGCGGCGACGGGAGATCACGCTCAGACTGCTGTTGCTGAAGGGCGTAACGGTGGAAGCGCAAGTGAAGCAGGCGGCGTCGCCAGCGCGTCCCCTCCGTCTCCCGTTCTCTCTACCTCCGCCTCCGCGCAAAGAAGCTCCCCGCGCAGCGGATTGATGGCGAACGTGGAAAATCTCGGCACTCCGCGGCTTGTACGTAGCAACTCCATGACGGTGGTGAGCGACATCGAGGAGGGGAAAGGAAGATGGCTTCGACGAGGGAGCTCCGCCGTCACGGCCGCCGCCGAGGCGGGGGCGGGTCGCCGCGGTGGCAACGTCAGCGGGGAGGGCAGAAGGTGGAGCACGCCTAGAGAGTTTTTCGAAGGCGGGATTGAGTTGCTTGGCGGGGGCGGCGGGGGGTGGAAAGCCCAGGGTGGTCGCGGTCGTTCTGTGCGCGCACGGAGGGGGCGGTCGGCTTCTTTTGACCACGCCGCGATACTCGAGGCCAACGACGGGGAGGAGTCCGCGCGCTCGAGGCACGGGGAGGAGCGGGGTGCCTGGGGAGCACCGTGGCGGATGGGAGGGATAGGCAGTGGGCTACCGTCTGGAGGGCGAGGGGGCTGGCAAGGAGTTCCGGTGATTTAGTGTGCCTAGCGTCGTGTCAGGCACATGGGATTGAACACATTTGATAGCAGAGTATTGGGAGATTCAATCGTGAAGCTCTCTCTTTGGAATTGTTTTGCCCTTTTAGTTTCAGTTGTTGCCGGCACTGGCTGTGCAGCCGTCTCGTGTTGTCAGAAAGCGCGGCGGAATTCGTGACCTTGCAAGTTCTTCGTTGTTTCTTGAACGTACACCAGTTTCCGAGACGACCCTCGCCCTCTTGAAACGATATGCGACGCTTTGGCCAGAACTTGTTGGGTTCTCAAGTACCATGGAGTACGTTTTTTGGCGCTCCTCGAAAAACTGATCTAGCTTCGAATATTACAACGACCAAAACGACGATCAGGGTGGATCGCCGAGCGTGATGGAAGGCCTGGGTCGGGAGTTTGTACGGCGAAAGGAAGACTTGGTACGAGGCACGGAGGCGGGTATTGACATGGCGAGGGAGGCGGCTAGGCGGGGGCTCGAGGCCGCTGACAATGCCGCCCACGTGGTGGGCATCAACCGCATCCCCATACTGAGGCAGTACCTGTGGGGGCAGGTGCACACTGGCTTCTGGAACTCCTACGAGGTATGCAGTTGTCACGAAAAGGGATGGCGTGGTCGTGGTTGGAAGGAGTAGTCTCCGTTGTAAGGAGATTGATTTTTGTTTTCTCGCCTTGTTGTCCGTGGTTCGTGCGATTTGCTCGCACAGTCCAAACACTATTTTTGAATGTGGCGGTTGAGGGCAATCGATAGAACGTACTGTGTGCCATTCTAGCTTCTACACTAAACCTCGAGGAATGTCCCGCCGCCTGTTCAAGTGGTTAAAATACGTTAATCAAGCGATTGCGCGGGAGGGTCAGGGGCGCTTCTCGAATTCGGCGAGCGAGCGCAAATCCCCCACGCTCTACTCCCGGCGGCTAGGGTGATCCGCATAGTAACAATCGTTCTGGTCGTTGGCCCTTGTTTCCAAATGCACGTCGGTGTACCAGGCTGTGCGGGGAGAAGTTCACGCTTGCGTTCGTAAGACGGTTGTGGACTGGTTACTCAGCCAGGACAACCCTCCAGACATCAAGCTTTACGTTACGGGGCACTCCATGGGCGGCGCCTTGGCGACGCACTGTGCGATGGACCTCAAGGTACGGCATTCGGTTCCGTGTCTGAGACAAGTGTGGGGGGGTCCCCAGGCGCTCGAACGTCAACCAGGCACGTTTGTAGTGAACCACGCTTCGAACAGTCAAGGGTTTCGATGTAGTCTCGGATCTAAACAGGTGTCATGCATTGAAGACGGTACAGCCCAGTTACAGACAAGAGACAAGCAGTTGCCCACTTGGTGCCCGGCGTTCAGCGTCGACGCACACGGAGTTGGCCTTCGCTGTGTGTGGTACATTGGCCACCAGCTGCTGTCAGGGAGATCGTCACGGCTAGACGCGAGAGCTAAGGCAGTGTTTGTGATGAGAGTCAGCCGCCTCACGCGAGTTCAAGCCAGAACATTTTTTTTTGTTTCGTCTTCGAATCCAACAAAGTATTGAGTAATGAGCATGCGAGACCCCACTGGTTCATGTTTAGTTGTTTTTCCTCGGAAATGGCGGTGAACGTTCACTAGCTTTACATAGCCGAACCTATTATGAATTTTGCCAGACAGCTTCGACCTATTCTCGACGGATTTACATAAGGAATATACCAATTTATTTTCGTGTACCTTTTTCGGGTAAGTTAGCCTGTGACCACGGGAACCGACCGCGTCAAGTTTTTGACTAGTACGAACAGAAGAAGGTACTGGATAGAGAGAAAGGAACTATTTTAATGTGAAGACAACAACAACGTTGGAGTGACGTTTGACACAGAACATTGGTAAGCCCCCCTGCTGATTTCATTCAGGTATGCAAGCGACCGCCTGTGTACGGCGCACTAGCGTTGGCAAACATGGTAACTTTATGGTGTGCCAGCAGTTCAATACTAGAGTGTTCAGTGGTAAACACAACTCACTGAAAAATCCTTCGATTTTGAGGCATCCTGGCTGAAGCACGCGTCGGTGAGCTTTTCCGATGTATTTGCAGTATCAAAAGGTGAGGGAGGGAGGGGGGAGCCTCTATCATTCGACACTCCCACCTGTTTTGCATTTTTTCTCGGTCTCAACTCCGTTGGTCTTCATGTGCATGTTTTCTTGCCCCCCCTCCGTTCGACCTGCTCCCTCTTCCCCGTCCTTGTTGTTTGGTCCCATCAGCTGCACACCATCGACAAGATCCAGGCCCGCCTAGGTAACTTCGTGCGAGTGCGGCGGACGTTGATGCAGAGAGTGATGGATTCGCTCCCCGGCCGCTTTCCGCAGCGCCGCGGCCGGCCGCATCACCATCAGCAGCGGCGGCAACAGCAACAGGCGCGTGATGGTTCTATCGCTGGGGGGAAGGCGCACCACGAGATCGGTCCTGGTGGTGGCGGCAGAGGCGGGCGGACGGATAAGACGGCCCCCCAGAAAGATGGGTCTCGAGCACTGGGTTCACCGCCGCAACCTCCGCCATCACCACCATCGCCGCCATTACCCGGCAAGGGACACCCCAGCGTGGCAGCAGCGGCGAGTGCAGTGGCTGCTACGAGAGGAGGGGTGAAGGGCCACAGCACCCTGCAAGAGCTGGCGAGTAACCTTGGCAGGCGCTTTCAAAGGATAGGCGGGGCTTCGGCGGAAGTAGCAGGGGCCGCGGTTGGTGGCTACAGCGACGAAAACCATGGCGATGACTGCGCTAGTGCTTTCTCTGTCTCCTCTGGGAGAGAGAGCTGTGCACCCGATGACATCGGTGGTGGCGACCAGCCCGCTGGAGACACCGCCTCCGGTGCTAGCGGTGGTGCTGGCGCCGTTGCCACCGAAAGCAGTCCTCCTGCGGTCTTCACTCCGGCCTTGGCCGCTCCCCCTGGTTCTACCGTCCGGGCTCATGTTTTTTTCGCGGACGAGGTTGGCTGCCGAGAGTCGGACGGGGTCGTCGCCACAACTCCCGAGCCCGCTGGTGTCGTCACCAAGGATGCCGCGGCTGTCGACGATGGTGCTTTGACTGCTGGTACATTGGACGGTGGGGAGAGAGGCGGTGTTGATTCGAGTTGCGGCGCCGGCGGTGACGGCAACGACGGCGACGTCGGAGCTGCCGGGAGCGGCGGAGGCGGGCTGGGCGGCGGCACGAAGGTCCTCAGGAGGGTGGCCACGCACCTCACCACCGTCGCGAGCTCGCTCGATCCCCGGAACCTTATCAACAGTCCCGCACTGCGGCGCCCCTTTTGGGGTGGTGAGGAACAAGGCGCCGGTGACGTGGACAGGGATGGGAGCGGGGACGCGGAGGAAGTCTCGCGGGGTACGATCGAGCTGCACATGTTTTCGTTCGGGGCGCCCCGCGTGGGGAACTCTATTTACGCCGCCCGTTACAACGACGTGGTGCCTCACAGCTTCCGAGTGGTGGTCGACGGTGACCCAGTCCCTGTAAGTGTACACGCATGGATGCTGTCGGTAGAAACGTTGATTTCGTCTTGAGTGTTGGGCTTGTTGTCGGTGGTTGCTCCTACTGATACAGAAAACATACGGTGGCCGGCGGATGTTCCCGGTAAGGCTTGGCATTTCTTATTCGTCAGTAGGCGAGTCCATTGGCTCACCTCTGCTACTCCTGGCCTAGCGAGGCATTTTGTTCCCGCCTTGCACTTTGATACTGAACTTGCAAAACGACAATTCCGCTGGGTTGAAGACAACGGATCGCTCCGCTTACCCCCGTCCGACCTTAACACCTCGTCCCCCCTTACCATCTTCGCAGGGTGTGCCCAGCTGGTGGTACACACATGTGGGCACTAAGGTGTTGATAGACGGTCGCGGAAGGGGAAGCTTGATCATGGACCCGAGCTTCGTGGAAAAACGATTTTTCGTCAGGTCGAAGCGCTACGTGCTGTCCCACCTTACCGAGGCGTACCAGGCCGGCCTAAGGGGCAACCTGTTGCAGGTACCTTCCTCCCCTTCCCCAGCCCTTCACTCCTTCGTGTAACTCTTGGCGCTTTAAGGATGAAGAACTTTGTTTGACGTGTGCAGATTCGGACCTGCGTAGACCTGCGGAAACGTCGACAACCGAGACTCTCCTTTCGTTTCACAGAGTTCCTGATGCAAAGGTCCCTAACCTCAAGAAGGTTCGAGGCTACCCGTCTCCTCGTACATGCGTGTGCACGAGCGGTGTAAGCAGGTCTGGGGCTTTGGGTTTGTGCGCTTTCCCGGCTCCCGTGGCCGCGCGTATTGAAGCTCGTCTATTTGTCGGTCGTCCCGCTGTTGGTACGCTCGACCTTCATGGTGTATCAGTGAACGACGAAAGTATCGAGAGCGGAACTCTTGTTGCACGGTTATGCCATGAGACTGGGATGCGCTTCTGATGCAACAAGACCCGCGTGGGCTTTCAATCCCCGCATTCACGTACCGGCATGGAAGACACCGGATCGGGCATTGCCGAAAGCCCGCTTGCTCTTGCTGCGGAGGGTTGGGACTGATCGCTTTTCCTTTGCAAGCGGCATGTACCCGCAAACCCTACTAGCGTGGATTGCCGCAACGCGGATCACACAAACTTTGACAGTACTGCACCGACTTGCCGCCAACTCCGCCTTCTCTCCCACCTCGCGCCCGAACCCAGGCGGTGCCTCCAAAATTCCAAGCAAGCATGCCAGCTCACTGGCCGTTTGGGATCAAGGCCGATAGCAGCAGCGACTCTTCGTCAGGCGACGACGACGACGACGACGAAGACGAGGACGAAGACAACGGCAGCACCGGGGCGAAGGAACGGAAGGAAGAGGTGGCGGACTTCGGGGAAGAAGCGGAGTTGGACACGGATAGCGGAGGTGAGGGAGCCTTACCCTCTTCCTCCATATCAGCGAGGCAAGACAGCATGGCTCAGCAGGCTGTGGACGCTCTCAACGAAGCGGACAGCCTCAATCGTGTGCAGTCGTTCCGGCTGGTCGCTAGGTCCGTCTCCGGCGCAACGTTGCGACCCGCGGCTCCTGCTCTTGCGACGGGTCCCGGTGCGGGTGGAGGCGATGGTGGCGGCGGCGGCGGCGGCGGCGGCGGCGGCGGCGGCAGTAACGGCCTTGCGGAAGGGGTGAAGCGCTTACTTCGCCTTGGGGGTAGTACCGAGGACATGGCGACGATGGAGCAAGGGGACGCGGTTGCCGCGGCGGGGGCTGTGGGGTCGCCCCCTGCGGCAGCGGGGACGGAGGGGCCAGCAACAGCGGCAAGGGTGGAAGCCGTGGCGCAACAGGCGGGGAGTGGCGTTCATTCTGAGGCAACATCGCCCACAGACTAATGTTAGGTTTCTCTTGCAAAAATGGCTGCGGCACGTTTCTCGGGGCTTCTGGACCATCGTCGCGGTGGCAGGACCGGCATGGTTCCGCCGTGTGTTAAGAGAGACGGGGGAATGCCCTACGGCAATATTCGCCCTCATTAGTAACCCGTCAGCGGGGGTGCACCCATCATTCTAACTGGAAGGTCAGACGAAACCGAAGCTTAGTAGCAGGGACAGAGGCAAAGACGGGAGGCAGAAAAGGATACGTTGCAGGTGCGCAAGTCAGGGTGCAGATATTGTTTTCGGGGATGGAATCAGTTCGTCTTCCTTGGACGAAGGTTGCCGCAACCCTCACGAGCTGGTCCACCCGATGGTCGATTCTGGGAAGGGAATAAGGTATAGTTCCGAGAAACGCACGGGTTCAGGAGTGGAGGTACAAGAGGTTGGTGGTAATATCGAGACGAATCGTTGGTTGCGAGATGTTTTTGAAGCAACAAGATTTGCCACGCTGTTAGTACGCCGGCTCGCCTGTCCCTGGTGGGTGATGTTTTCATAGTTGTTGGAGCTCCCCGCCCCACCGTGGAGATTGTATGTGTCCCATTCCTTTCGTGTGCATAAGTTTGATTTTCTTCTTGACAATGCGGTGACATTGGTGAGACGACAGTAGTGTTGGTTCAAGGTGTGTGGGGTTTCGAGTGGGAAGGAGCGTAGGACGAACCCTTTCGTCGCACATCCCTGGTCAGAAAAGCAATCGAGATTTTCAAATTGTGGATGTGATACGCATACAAGCGAGGAGTTGCTGTCGAGGTGTCTTGATTAAGATTGTTGTACAGGTAAATATGTTCTAGGGTTGGGTTTCTTGTGAGGATTGGCCCGGTGACAAGTGCGTTGTTGCCAACGCCTCGCGATGATTTTTCGTAATGATTGGGAGCAAGTTCAGCACGAGATTTACGGTGTCCACAGCACTAGCAGCACGATGCGTTCCCACCCCGCGCCCCATTGGCAATCATGATACGTGAGTGATATTTTCGGTGTTGTGGCGTGAACACTGCCTGTCGTTCTCGATAACATTATGTGCGTGCGATGCAAGCTCGAAGCGCTTGTCGTCTTCTTGTTGTGTGAGAAGGCAATGCGGTGTCGGGTTGGGGTAGTATCCGGTGTGGTGCTGATAAGTACAATCGAATTGTTGGCATCGCGTTTCTTCGTTGTGGGGGGTTGAGAGTGGATTCGTCCGAGAACGGTCGAAACTTGTGGAAATGTGCGATGTTGTTGCCGTAATGCGTACCAGTGTGATGAGAATCTGCAATATCTACACAGAATTCTGAATTGGCGGTATTCCTCACGCACGGAGTACACTGCTGTGGAAGAGCAGCTGGACAAACCACAAGCAGACCTCAAATTGGAAAACCGAATCCCAAGCTCTAGCTTGGGTCTCTCCAGATCAAAAGTATTTCTTGTCGGTGTCATTTTCATTAGCATTGCCCACCCCTGCCCGACCGGGCCTCAAAAGCCCATCTCAAGCTACAGTGCACGACGTGCGACCACCAAAGGATGACTCCGTAGGGCATCGAAAGTCATGACGCCTCCCCGAGATTCAGCAGCTTCCGGCCACTACGGCGGACAGGAGGCATCGTTGTATGCTTCGCCCTATTGTGCGGCCATTTTTCAGACATTCATCGACAGACATGGTACCATTGTAACTTGGATCATCGGGTTGGTTTCGAAATATGTTCAAACCAGGTTTTCAAAGTATCGTGCTACTGGAGTCCTGAAACGGCAGAGTTTTGGCTCCAGATGCACATCGCTTCCCTCGACAAGGAAGCCTCCTCAAAGTTGAGAGCGAAACATGTTTTGGGCAATGACACTGCGATGTTATGATTTTGATTCGATCAAACAAAGGTCACATGCGTGTCGGAGTCGGGACTCGGTGTGACAATGGGACTTCGGCCACAGCCAGCCCCCCAGCCCTCAATACGAATGTCATGGACAAGAAGGAAGAAGTGAAATTCTCATGTAGGAGGATTATGACAGCACAACAGCATGTTTCGTAGAAGTCTGGACTCGGTTTCTCACCCCAACTTGGGTACCGAAAGCCCAATCTGTGAATGTCATCGGAGAGAATGCATGAGTGAACTTTGGCAAGACTGAATTTGCGTGGAGTTCTATTTCTTCAACAATATAGTATCATTTTCTTTGCGATATCACAGATTTTGACGAATTTCACTCCCAATTGGACTAGTCAGTCCTGCTACCGAAAACGAAGATTTCGTTTCAGGTGCATCCTGGTCCTCTCGACGAGGAAACCTCCTCCAAGCTGATAGTGAAATATGTTTTGGGCAATGGCACTCTGTGATGTTTAGTCTCTGATTCGGTAAACCCAGGGAGATATTCGCGTCGGAGTCGGGACTCGGTGTGAGACACCGGGACCTCTGGCGCAAACAGCCCTCGATATGAATGCTATGGACAAGAATGAAAGAGTGAAATTCTCACGTAGGGGTTTCGCTAGTGAAACAGCATGTTTGGAAGGAGCCGGGGCCCGGTTTCACACAGCAACTTGGGACACCGAAAACTGCCTATGAAGTTATCGGCAAGAATCAATGAGTGAATTTCGTCAACAAGCCCGTGATTCCGTGAAGCTCTACATCTTGAACGGCCGGTTCTGCTTTCTTCGGGATGTCGCAGAAATGTTTGGAACGCGTTCACTCTGACGTCGACCACCGTGCCATGCTACTAAAAAGTTCAGTTTCAGACGCATATTGGTTCCCTCGACGAGTAACCCTCCTCGAAGCTGACAGTGAAACATGTATTTGGCAACGATACCTTGCAATATGATGCCTCTGATTCACTCCACTGATCCACGCCATCCAGGAGATATGCGTGTCGGAGTCGGAACTCGGTTCCACACCTGGACGTGGGATACCGGAAGTCTTGGCTTTGGAACCGTTTGAAAGGTCAACGAGGATGACAATCTCGAACCCGCCTCGTTCGATGTGGTGATCGATTCAAGAGGTTGCATGCCAACTGTTCCTGCCGGTCTCGTTGGCGCAGGCGTAGCGCAAGCCTGATCGATACCGGTACAACAACAGCCACCAAACCGGCAGGGGAAAAGGGTGGCCAGGGGCAACAATCCGGGGGGGCGCACAGTCGATGGCAGTGATGCTGTCACCAACGAGGGTGGGATCGACGGCAGTCTGCCGAAGAAGAGTGTGGAGAGGGGGGAACGCGGAAATGGCATCATCGAGGGGCAGGATGACGACAGTGACGACTTCGGAAAAGTATAGGAGTAGTAGCACGGAGGATGCCGACAGTGATGCCTACTTAGGCAAGTGTGGGAGTAGCGGTGATGACCAGTAGGATGACGGCAGTGATGTCGACTCGGGAAAGGATAGGAGTGGCGGCGATGACGATCACAACTGGGGGCCAATGTTTGACGACGACAACGACACCGAGGGCGTGCACCCCGCAGAACGTGCAGAAGGTGCGGCAGATCGCCGCGAGGTATTCGATGAGCGTCGAGTCTTCGCCAAGATGATGGCGAAGAGCAAGGAGAACGTGGACGAAAGTCTTGCGGTCATTTTTGTCTTACCAAGCCCTGGGCATACAGACCCAAAGTCGGGGCACACATCCAGTACCTGGTTGGTGGGCAGACGACCGCGAATCCAGAAGAGGGCCCTAAGAAAGGGAGGCCGAAACTTTTCGACTCGCGAGGAAAAGGTCTTGATGTCAAGCGAGAAGAGGAGCAATCGCACAACGGCTGTACTGCAACACGCGCCTATACGCGGGGGCTGAAGAACAAATCGCGGAGATCGACAAGGATGAAGGATTTGACCGAAGGTGGACATCGGCGGACGAGAAAAAGACCAAAACCGAATACGTAATGGAGTCGTTCCTAAGGCGGGAAGGAGAGGTGATATGTGTCAACGTCAATCTTTTGCGCGCATGAATAAGGCAAGGTGCGGCTTATTGAACTTTTGGCGCGTTCGTGTGCAAGGGTGTGTTCGTCGATTGCTCAAAGTCTCGCGATTTTTTGTCAGGGATGTATGTGTCAAAACCGTAGTCGAAGAGGCGAACCACCCTACAATGGTGGCGATTCTGCTACTGTAAACAGAAGTGGTAACTACCGGTCTACTCGGCATTCACCACCAATCTCTTGTACGTCCTCTCCTGAAGTTGCGTGTCTCCCGGCCCTAACCCTATACCTATTGCCCTACTCTCCAAACGATCATCAGGCGGTCCACCTCGTTGGAGTTGCGGCAACCTTCGTTCAACAAAGAAGACTGTCCCTTTCATCCTCAAAAACACTAAATAACAGCACCCTGACTTGAGCGAAAGTAACGTACACGTGTTTTCCTCCTTCTCTCCGCCTACATTTGGCTCTGCGTCTATCTCTGTCACTATGCTTCGGTGTCGTCTGACCTTCAGCTCTAGTCTTCTGTGCACCCCCGCTGCCGGACTACGTACTAACGAACGCAAATATTGCCGTAGGGCAGCCCCCGGCCTTCTCAACACACGACAGAACCACCCAGCTCCCTGCTTCGGTGCCGATTGTGGAAACGCCTCCAAAGAACATGCCGTCACCGCTTCCGCGGGAGAGACCAAGGAGTTATCGGAGAGGCATGCTGCTGAAGAACATATGGCATTCCCCGCCTGTCGCTACCCTCGTCGCTGTTGCTGGCCCCTCCTTCCCTACTTCCGCAAGGGGCTTTCACATAACCTAGTCGCTGCCTTCCTCGATCGCCGCCAAATCCCGGCTACTACGCCAGAGACGGAGCAACCGGTTTGCTCCCTTCTGCAAGACCGATAATACCATCACCGCCGGCTTGGGGAGCTGTGTGTTGTAGCCCGTCTCTCGCCGTCCCCACAGGTTTACCGGTTTCACCATCGCCTCCACCCTCACCAGCACCCGCTGCGGAAGTGGGAGTGGTCGGTCGCAGCGATAGGCTGGAAACTGACCTAGCGACTAGCCGGAACGACTGCCCGCGATTAAGCTTGTCCGCTCTCTTTAGAGCTTTCACCGCCTGTTGAGCCATGATGTCCTGCCTCACCAACATCGACGAAGACGGCAGAGCCCCCTCCCCCTCGCTGTCCGTGTTCGTATCCGCTTCTCCCCCGACGTCCTCAACGTCCTGCTTCCGTTCCTTCGCATTGGTGCCACCGTTATCGTTGGCACCGCCATCAGAAGAGGGGTCGCTGCTGCTGTTATCCTTGATTCCGTACGGCCAATGAGCTGGCACGCTACCTTGGAGCTCGGGGGGCACCGCCTGTGGGATTGGGGAGAGGACAGAGTTGACGATATATTTGGGCAACAATGGTGAGATTCGCGCTTTGCAAAATAGTAGTCATTGCGGATTGAGGTCGAGAGTTGTAAGGAGGGATTGCAGCCAACCGTCCTCAACCAGGTATAGCTAGCTTTCGGCAACGCTGGACGCGATATTTCTCTCATTGGTATGTGAAGGCAGAGTGTGGAAGACGAACATGTTTGGATGATTTAGAGGTGCACGCCAGCCGCGTTTTCTCAGACCTGTGGTTGCAATATAAGAGTCAAGGACTCGTGCTCAACACCTGTATATATACTGTAAGTCGAGCCTGCCAACAACCGGGTTGATCGACAGCTGCGCGTGACAATGCTCTTGACCCCCCCAGCAACAACAACAATACAGGGGTACCTGCAACAGGTTGCCCCTTAGTCCCGCTTGGTACGCGTGGACGAGGTGGGAGAGCACGTGGCGCTTGGACCGAGCGAAAAATCTCTTCTCAACGAAGCTCGGGTCAATGATCAAGCTTCCCCTCCCGCGACCGTCGATCAATGCCTGGGTGCCCGCATGGGCGTACCGCCAGCTAGGGATTCCCTGCGAATTTCGAGGCGGGGTGACGGTCGGAGTGGAGTAAGCGTGTCGGCATGTTGTCTTTTACCGCGTGGCATTGTACATGAAGTTGTGCAGATTCAGCACGAATGTCGGAGTAGTGAAGAAAGTGGGCTGTCTGGTCCGCCTACAGATGCACAGGAATCGCTGAGCCCAAGCAGCACCATCTGCCGGTAACCGTACGCGTTCGGTACCAGAAGAGGTGTTGATCGACAACAAACGTGAGAAATACACAAAATCATCGGAATTGCCGAAAGCATCCACACCCTGGTACACACTTACAGGGACCGGGTCACCGTCGACTACCACTCGGAAGCTGTCGGGCACCACTTCGTCGCAACGGGCGGCGAAAATCGAGTTCCCTGCGCGGGGCGCCCCGAACGAATACATGCGCAACTCGACTTTTGGGGTAAGAGGGACCTCTTCCGCCTCGCCCCTTCCATCCCCGTCCACCTTCCCGCTGCCGTGTTCCTCACGGCCCCAAAATGAATGTCGCAGTGTGGGATTGTTGATAAGGTTCCGGGGATCGAACGAGCTCGCGACGGTGGTGAAACGCGACACCATCCTGCTGAGGACGTTCGTGCCATCGTGCGGCTCGCGATCGTTGCTGTTCCCAGAGGAGACGGAGCAGGCGCCATCGCAGTGATCGCCACGGCTTTCACGACGAGTCGCGGCCCCTCCTACTTTCGCGGAGGTCCCGCGCTTCGCCTGGAAGCGCCTGCTCAGGTTTCCCGCCAGCCCTTCCCGCGGGTTGTTGCCTTGCCCCCCCCCTCCCATAGCAGCCGCTCCACCCGCCACCGCCGCCGCCGCCGCCGCCGCATTGAGGTCTCCCTTGCCGGGTAACGTCGGCGATGATGATGATAATGGAGGCCGTGGCAATGCCCACGAGTCGTCCATCGGGGGGCCCGGCTTGCCCGTTCGTCCGCCCCTGGTACCACGACCGGGACCGTTCTCATGTACCTTGCCCCCGGCGTTATTACCATCAGGTGCCTGCTGCTGATGATTGCGGGGAGGCGAACCCGCCACTTTCTGCATCAACGTCCGCCGCACGTGCATGAAGTTACCTAGGCGGGCCTGTATCTTGTCGATAGTGTACAGCTGGTGCGATCAAACAACACGGACGGGGAAGAAGGAACAGGCCGGACGGGAGGAACAACACATGCGCACGAAATGCAGCAGAGCTGAGATCCTGAAAATCTCTGGATTTGGAAGGACTATGGAATGATGGATGCGTACAGACGATAGCCTCCCCCCGTCGCTCGAAACTATGACATGCCATATGCCTTGAAAACGCTCAACCACATGTGTGTCAACCAATGCTTGATAGTAGACGTCTGAGGAAATGGAAAGACGGTTTTATCAGGAATTGTTTTTCCATCTCACCCTAACCTATTTGCCGCTGATACACCACCTCGGCAAGCTCTTTCTTTGTGATCCCTCACAGAGGCAGCCGCTTGCTTCGAAGTATGAAAAATAGGCAGGACGCCTGAAAACCGTCACTCTGATGCACGTATTGTATACCAATACCAACCGATTGCTATGGCTTCGAGCCCTACCGATGCCGCACAATCACCACAAACGTGCTGAAACTTCAGGGCTCGGTTTGCAGATCTCAGCAACAAGCTTTAGGGGTCAGGTCCGTCAAGCGTCCGCGAGTCGCCACAAGTGTGCTATGGAGTACTTCAGTAGAGCTACCACGAAATAGACAATATTTCAGCCTTTTCCGGTCCGCACCAGAGCTTTCAAACGAGGGAGTGGAGCAGTCACGCCGCAACGTCTACTTCCAAATTGGCCAAAGTTGCTGAACGCCAATTCCTCATGACAACCAAGCTACGTCTAACATTGTTTTCTACAGCAGACATGTAGACTTCAGGGTCTACCTTGTGAAACTGTGGAGGATAGCGCAAGGTTGTCTGACAAATATCACAAGAGTTGGTTACTAACAGGGCCTTTGACAAGTGATTGCCATCACGACGAAATACCTACCCTCACAAGGACCAGGGGTGCCCCGAAAGCTCATGGACTTGGAGGACGAAACGGTGAAGAGCTACAGAAAGGACGATATCTTCCTGGCGTGAACATGCACAAGACAACTGACCGGGAAACAAACACTGCCTGGGGTGGTTGGGGGTGAGTGAGGGGGCATAAATCACTGCAGTACCTCCATAGAGCGCCGACAGACTTGCGTACGGCAATACCCACCTGATAATGTTATAACCACGGCGGTGAAAAGGTTGTGCTATCTGTGTTGCCATATCGTACGCGTCCCACCACGTTGGATCCCCATGACAGCACCACGTGGCCCATGTGCACAAGAACACCAACTGGGTGTGTGTCAACTGTGAGTGCAGAACGTCACCCCCTATGGCCTGGGTCGCAACTCCCATTTTTCTTTGTTATCCCTTGTCTGTAACTGGTCTTCTTGACGCGCGACGCCTGTTGCTATCCGAGACTCCATCGAACTCCTTGACCGTGCAAAGCATGGTACAACTACTCCCATGTCTAGTTGGCGTCCGAGCGCCCGAGCGTATTCTCCCCCGCCACCACATTGACCAACGCCTTACCTTGAGGTCCATCGAGCAGTGCGTAGCCAAGGCGCCGCCCATGGAGTGCCCCGTCACAAAAACCGTAATGTCTGGAGGGTTGTCCTGGCTGAGTATCCAGTCGATTACCGTCTCCCGAATGCAAGCGTGGAGTTCTCCCCGCACACCCTCACGTACGGGTGCGCATTTGGCAACGTGGCGAACGACGACGAACGTTTGTTGCTGTGGGCGACGTGCGCGTCCGATCATTCCAGCCGTCGGGAGGACAGCGAGAGAGAATACGGGAGTCGCGACCATCGAGAGAAGCCTACCGTCGGCGGCCCTCCATAGAGCGGTTAAACGGCGCGAGAACCGCCCTATCGCGGGACCTCCGCATGGGTAGCATGGATGCGGCCACTACGAGATTTTCAAGATGGTCGACAAATCCAGTGCCACACGATCGTTGACCGCAATACATGGGGAACCTGCACTGCTTGGGACCAACACTAATGAGAGACCCTGATATCGCCTCCCTCTCGTAAGTTGATCAAGATATGACAGCCGCTGGGTCGATGCTGCAGTTTCGATGTGTCAGCAGCATGGGTGTCCAGGACCTGAACAACGCGTCTTTCGAGAGATCCCCCCTTCTCCGAATACATATTGCCCGGTGTGCAAACGTTGAGCTTGGAAAACCAACCCGTGTTTTGTGTGCTTTTCTTAACCGCGTCTATCGCGCTAATCGGGTGACCAATGAAAAGGTTTCAGTCCCACTGCCATTGAAAACACAAAGAGCTTTTAGGTCACGATCTGGGACCCAGTGACGGAGGGTCATGGGGGAGTCTACGCTACTCTGCAAGACATATAGCGGAGAGAAAACAGAAGAAACCTGCACGTGTTTACCATGGCTGCTACTACTATTGATGCGCCATCGTTTCGGATTGCTTTCATCGTCTTCCCTGCATTTACGTGTGTGTGTACACGGGCAAGCTCACCACTGCGCCTGACCGTCCCTGGCCATCGATTCGTTTAAGGCGGCAAACACTTGAACAGACCGCGGTGGGATGCGCCCCTGTATTGCTGATGGCGAAACTACAACGGCACACAGATCGTCCTATCGATTGCCCTCCACCGCAATAAGTTATTAATGTTCTGTCTGGAAGTTGAAGCTGCTCACACGAACCACGTCAACAAAGGAGACCAAAACACAAGAGACATCCTGACTGCCAATACTGTTTACTGTAGCCTGGTCATGTCAGCCATTTTCATGCCAACCATTTACCTCGTAGGCGTCCCAGAAGCCCGTGTGCACCTGCCCCCACAGGCACTGCCTCAGGAAGGGGATTCGGTTGATGCCCATCGCGTGGGCAGCCTTGTCTACGGCCTCCATCGCCCGCCTGGCCGCCTCCCTCAGCATGTCAAACACCGTTCTCCTGCCTCGGACCAAGTGTTCCGCTGGCCCAACGTATTCCGGACTCGGTCCTCCAATCGCGCCGGGTGATTCGCCCTGGTATTTAATCGTTGTTGCCATTGTTGTATTCGTATTTACACCATTTCTTCAAGGAGCGTGAAGGATGATTGTGAGGAACACTTGCGTTTGAGAGACCAAATGCTCTGGGCTGAGTGTTGCATTTCGGTTGAAGAGAGGTTGTCTCGACACTGGCCGTACCAGACACGAGTCGGACCTTTAAGGTCAGGATGTCCGTGGAGCATCAACGTCTAGAATACAGTGCTCGAGCGTGGGACGGCTACATAGCCCGAACCGGAAACACAACCCAAACAACAATGGCGATACCGACCTACGGTTCCAGAAAAGAGTGCAGCTTTGCGACGAAGGTACCGATACACCTCGTTTGGCACATGCATTCAATCCCTTGCCCCTGACGCGACGTTATGCAAACTAATCACCGGAACTCCTCGCCAGCTCCCTCCTGCGGAAGGTAGCCGAGTCCCTACCACTCCCATCCGCCACGACGACCGCCCCCCTCCTCGCCCCTCCCCGTTCCTCGAGCGTGCGGCCTGTTCCCTGTCTCCAGCCTCTAGTATCGCGGCATCGTCAAACGATGCCGACCGTCCGGTGAGCGAGTACGCAGAACGCCCGCGACCACCCTGGGCTTCCCCTCCCCCGTCGCCACCCCCGCTAAGCAGTTCTATTCCTCCTTCGAACCTCACTGTGGGTCTCGACCTTGTCCCGCCCCCTTTGATCCTGCCACCGCGACGCCCCCCCTCCCCCTCGACGGCGGCGGCTGTGCCGTTGGGATTCCCTCGTCGGAGCCCTTTTCTCTTCCCCTGCTCGATGTCGCTCACCAGCGACATGGAGTTGCTACCCACAAGCCGCGGAGGGCCGAGATTCCCCACGCTCGAGATCAACCCGCTGCGCGGAAAGCCTCTTGGGTGAGGGACGGCGGGAGAGGGAGACGGAAATGACGGACGTGACGCGCTGGCGACGCCCCCTCCTTCGCTTGGCGCCACACCGACTCCGTCACATCCTTCAGCAGCAGCCGTACCAGCAGCACCGGCCTGATCGTGATCTCCCGTCGCCCCTGACACCGTGCCCCCCACAGAAGAAGAGACCCCCGCGGACGTAGGCTCAGAGCCAGCCCCCTCGGTACCGGTGGTACCCTTCGCGTGGTCGGCGAAGTCCCAGCGATTTCCGTCTCGCGGCTGCTCTCTGAACTGCCAGCGTGGAACCGAGAATCCCTTCAGCATGGCTCGAATTTCGGGTTGGGATATCGGGTGGAGCTGCTGATGCTGACGTTTCCCCCCACCCGCGTCGTCGCCGCCGTCGCCACCTTGGACACCCCCCATTCTGCTCCTTCGCCCTCCGTTGTTGCTACCGCCGAGGTTGTTCTTGTGGCCGTCGGCACAACTTTGGGCACCTGCGGATATCTCTACCGAAAAACCGTCCCCTGGTTGACCGCGTCCACACTTGTTTGTCGTCGATCGTTCGTGCCCATCCACGGGAGAGCAAGATGACGAAAACGCGTTTGCGGCCGGGGGGGGCGCGATGGCGTGGGACGAGGGCGGTTGGGAGGATGGGGGTGCACCGGAGGTGCAACAGCAACAGCAGGAGACCGTGCGACTTGTGTTTCTCCGGCGGGCTCTACGTGTCCTCCGAAAACGTGACCGTACTCCTCTTCCTCCTGTCGAAATTTCTTCGAGAAACAAGCAAAGAAAAAACAGATTGATGGTGCCATGCCTGTCATCAGACCATGCCAATGATAGTCCCAGAGGAGCTCCTGTACGTCTCAATGACGCCACCCTGTTGTACACCTCACTTGTGGCTGCTCCGCAGTTTTCCGAACGTGTAGCACCAGACAACAACATTGACCCCGCGCGCAGCGCGACCAGTGTTTTCAAGCATGCCTCCCCTCTGTGGTATTCGGGCGTTGACACTGCGGCACCCCCGCCACGAGAGAAACAATGGTGGCGCGCAAGTTGGGGAAGCGGGGTACGACCTCCAAGATGTCTCTGATGCACCGCCGTACAACGAAGAACAAGAATGGAACGCCCCCGCCGGTTACGTCCGGGGTGCCCCATTCTGGACAAGAAGTTGCCGATGCCACTCCGCTCCCGGGGTGCGTTGTCAGGGAACGGCCAATAGGGTCTCTTAATCAAAACCACTCAAGAACGGAACCCCTTCCAACCCCTCGCCGAAAAGCCGCGTTTCGATCCATGTTTCACTCGGTGCTAGGCTGGCTAGTCGGTGAATCAAAGTGAGGCTGTTCGTCCCCGCAGTGCGTGGATGGGACTTGTTGCTCATTCATCCCACGACCAGCATGATCATGGGTGCACCCCCCTGCTCTCCGGTCCGCCAGTGTAGGGATGCGATCTATGCTCTCTGAATTTCTGGTGGCACGCATCTTGGTCAAGGACACACACACCCTCCGACCACACGGAACAGACCCACCTCTTCTCTCGCAGACGCCATGTGCGCCACGACGCCGTGCAATGACTTCGCCGCCTGGATGTCGATATCTTCATCTAGTACCTTCGTCGCCTCGTGCTCTCGGCCGGTGGGCATCATATGGTTCAAGTTGAACTCCGTCTGAAAAAGTCTGGGTGGTGGTCCGGGAATGTTCGGTAGGTGGCATAGGGATGCGACAAGTGAACAAAAGGAAACCTGACAACAACAATCCTTCGAGGGTCTTCCTCATTGATAACCCCGGCTGGAAACATACCGAAAGGTGAACAATAGATCAATGGCCTGAAGAAATGGCATGACACACGTTGTGCAAGTCCCTCCTTTTGCCGTGAGATATTGCCTAGCGCTTGCTGCTGCACGCCGGACCTTTCGGGATCCCTACGTTCAGAAAAGGTTTGCGTACATACCACGTCCCAGTACGTAGATATGAACTTCAACACTCCTCCAATCACACGTATTAAACACTGGCCTTGAAAACGCTCATCCCCGAAATTCTCGTTCCCTCGTAGAAGTGCATTACCGGTGATCCGTAATATTGGTACCCTTTCATCTACACCAACAATGTAAGTTGGGCACCCGTACTACCATACCTTAGGTTGTCCATCCAGTGTTTGGTTCCGACTGATCCGCGAAACGTTACTACGAGGCGCTGCATCGACAATAGCAAAGAAAGGGAAGCGACCGAGAGAGACAATGGCGGGAGAAGGGGCGTTTGTACGTGGCCATCGGGAAACAGGGGAAGCCATTGCGAGGCGGAGACCATCGGTGGTGGGTGAAAAACGAGACACACGCCGACCGACACACAGAGAGAGAGAGAAACAGAGACAGACAGACAGAGAGAGAGATAGACAGACGGACAGACAGACAGACAGAGAGCGAGAGAGAGAGAGAGAGAGAAAGTCCGCACGGTAGGAGGATACCAAGAGCGACCGCTATTGATGAGATAATACCCGTACAGAAGCACCCACAACCAACACGCATTTTCACTACCAAAAGAGACTATGCAATGTCACAACAGACAACAGAGAGGGTCTTCCTCGGGGCCGAAACTCCGTCAGCTATGGAGATATTCGCAAAACATAAGAATACTCCCAACACAAAACAATGCGTATGAGGGATAACGAGTATTCCCACGAGAAAAGCATTTCTTGCAACATTGTCCCGCGCAATACTTATACTTTCAAGACCATCAATATTGCTTACCCCTCTCGGCACGTCCTTGAGAATGAAACAGTTCGTGTCGTGGTCGACGTTGTGAATGTGCCGCACCAGCTCGAACCCCATCCTCGCTAACCTCTGAACCCGGATATGGTAGTTGTGGGGGTTCTTGAATCCTATCGGATCGGCGTAGGCCTCCCACGCCAACTCCAAGAGCCTATTCGAGGTCGTCAACGTGTGGTTTGAAGGGGGGCGGGGCCGGGGTGACGGGCAAGGCAGGCAGGGAGGGAGGGAGGGAGGGAACGGGAGGCGCACTTCAGTGTCGCTTGCCATAGTCATTTGACCATTGACCACACATCTCCGACAGGACGGAAAACCGTTGTATTTTGTAATCGGGGCCCCACCGACAAGCTTGGCATGGCATCCTCCGCCCCCCATCCTCCCCGCCACTACTGCAGCAGCAGAAAATGTCCCTCCTCAGGGCTCACCACGCGGCCGTCTCTACGCAGAATACAGGTTTCTCGTCCTCGTCCTCCTTCCCGACGTCCCCCGGGGATGTTTTTGCGTGTTCCCCCGGGTTCAAGGCCCCGCCCTGGCAAGTGGGGCCTTTCGCCCTCGCCTGGCCACCACCGGCGGTAGCATCGACCCCGCCGTCCCTGCTCTTCCGCATGGCGATCGGCAGTTGTTCTTCGAAGAAGACGAAGCGCACCTAGTCTCGAAGACGCCGATGCCCACCATGAGGAGCGATTCCGATTGCACCAACGCGTGGATAAATACAACCGCAACGTAATGCGAACTAGCTACAGACGTGGAGAGAGGTATCACCTCAGGGGAACATTAAATGGATAACGAATCGTGGACTATTGTTTTCAGTCTATTGAGTACGGAGCGACGCTAGAAAAAAGAAAGACTTAGAGAGGAAACGACAGGGAATGCCTCCGTCAACCAATCTCCTGCTCCGACACACACGCACGAGCCAGCTCACAGATATATTCCTGAAGAGCTTGGACTCTTTGAACGACGAGGGCAGGAAGAGCAGAAACAGCTGCAGGGCGTACGCACACAAGATCGACACCGAGCCCAGGTGGTCCTGGCAAGACGAACCACACATCGACAATCATAACAGAGGTGAACCAATAGGTTAAAGAACGAAATACGCGCCAGGTGCAGTGAGCACTCCCACTGCATCTTCGACGCTTTCGGTTGGGCCAGCGAGGGCCTCGGGGGCGGTAAATGCCTAGCATGAGGACGTATCCGCAAACGACCTACATTGCTGTTGTCTGACCTTGGGCATAGCCTACGATGACTGCAAACTATACCAATCGAAGACCAACCAAGCAGCCAAAACATCGCAGCAGAAGCAATATTCAGGCATGGGTAGGCTCTCGGATACTGCAGCGGAACGACCTATGTAGTCGTGACAAGTGAGATTGCATTGCGTCTCCTGCGAATCAAACCAGCGGGCTCGACGGAAACTAGAGAAACAGAGGTCAGACGGATGCAAGGGCAACATTTCATGGCATTTGCCCCTCAGGTTTCTTCTCCCCGTGCCCATCTCCTTTTCCGCGTACCCCCTTTACCATACCCCCCAAGTCCTCCCACTGCTTGACTTCTGGTGGCGCCAGCCCTTGGGCAACACACCCTGCAGACAACGTAGAGAGGTATCACAGACGCCATCGATGCCCGCCTAGATGCTGAATGCGCCGCACAACCCGTAGATATCATAGGCAGACAGGCAAACTTACCTGTCTGGTCCTGACGAACAGCATGAGTTGGGCGGCGAAGGTGTTTCCGTCCATGTCGTCGTCGAGGATGTCGATCAGCCGCCAGAGTGTGAACGTCGTGTACACGATACCCAGCAAAATAGCCTGCCAAAATATCAGCAAAAAACATGCCACGGGGAAATGCCATGAGAAAGGACACGGAAGTAAAACGGGGACCCGCACTCAGAAGTTTTGCTCCGCTCGGACCTAACACCGGATTGGTTGGGTCTTCCGTACTGTCTCAGGAAAAAACCTTGCACCGCTGTCGACCCGTGACCCTGCTCTGCACCCCCATGTCATAAAAGTCTTGTTTCGGGCACAAACCAACAATGGGAAACAAGTCTAGAGTTCAATCCGGACAGTGAAGGGGGCACCTGCTTCAAGAGCCCCCAAAAGTGCAATTTATCGAGAAAGAAGGGGAGGTATGTTCTCACCCCGACAACGGGATGCCGCTGGTTGTGTGCGCGCGCATGAAATTGCACCCTTTGTTCTTTGGAAGGAATCAAGGAGACGAAACCACACCGAGTTCTGAACGCATAGACTCGCACAAGTATGTTGGCGGAGAGGGAAAGGGAAAAGGCGGCCGATGAAAACGAATCAACACAAACCCATGGTTACAGCGTCCTAACGGCGTATACGGCCTTTGTGGAACTGCTAGTGACAGGAAAAACGTGGTTCGGCTACGCAAGCCGATGGACGCGAGCAACCACTGCAACAGTACCAAAAACGACCATCTAATCAGCACAACGACAACAATATGAACATGGAATACCTGAAGGCCAAAGAACCGGTAGGATAGCTGCTGGTATCGATTCGGCACGTACGGTAGTTTCCTCAAGAGGCAGCCCGAGACGTACATGCGACACAACATCCACACCGCCCACAGCATCACCATGAAGATGCGCGCGGATGCCACCTGTGATGAATATTGTCGATGCCGACGATTGCGACGACGTAATCAGAAACGACACACGACTTTTGTCACCCTTGCAGCCGGGTATGTGCCCAAGACAGTTACCACGTTTTTCCTCCCCTGCCCCATGTCTCATCTACGATGTGCACAGGGCAGCTGTCTGTGTATATATCCTTGACTCTGTACTTGGGAACGACTTACGCACACGAACCTGCCAGGAACGCCCTTTCCAGAATAAAATAGCACACTATGTCCATACGTATCTCTGCCCGTCGGATATCGTACAAAAAAACAACAGCATGACATTTCTCCTTCCCACCCTCGCTAAGACCATTCAACGGTACATTTGCCCATAAGCGTGCTGTTGTTGTTCCACAAGTCCCACCCAAGTCACCCACCAATTCGAACGCTTGTTGCTGGGATTCAGGCCAGTTCTGCACCGCCAGCAACGAGCCGCGGTCTATCCCTATGACGGTGGGGAAGCTCGCGCGGTCAACCAGTAGCATACACGCCATGGTCCAAACGCCAAACACCACCTGCCAGGGAAAATCACCGAGCCATAGCAATCACAACACAGAGGAACCGGACATCAAACACAGCGTGAATTTCGGGGGTGGTGGGGCGTGGTACTCGTTGTTTGGGGTTGCCGTGTTGGTACACTTGGCAATCCACCGAGCGTCTCTCAAAAGTTGTGGTCGATCGTTACTTCCCGCCACCGGGTTCTACAGAGGCACGTACTTCGTACTTCGTAAGCTCTCAGCGCTCCCCAGCCTTTCGCCGCACGTTTGCTTTGTGCTGATCCCATCCAGGCGAAAGGTATCCGGGATAGTGTGAGTAACACGACCGTTGTCGAAGACGAACGAACGGCGATTGGTTGGAGAATAATAACTTCATGTTTCTGGATTTTCGAACAGCTCTGGGACCGTCGCTTTGGGACCGTCTCTCCAGTGTTTAAGGGCACGAAACTCCGCCACGGCGCGTGAGGTCATGATTCGTGGTTGGTTGGACAGCACAAACGCCAGCAAGTCTTGTCCAGTGGGGACAAAGAAGAACATGCACAGCGAGCAGCCTTTCCCCGTCTCAACATTTCTGGGATATTATTGGAGTCGACAACGTACAGGGGTGTACATGAAGAAGTTCACTCCCGCTTCACCTTGAGGAGGTAGAAGCCAAGAGAGCCGCCACCCACCCTGTCCCTACCCACCCCGTCGGCGATACAGAGGGTCACCACCAGAAGCATAGCCTCAGCGACGCTGAGAGACATCTCGCTGGCAAGGCCCCACGACGCGGACCCAGGGGCGACGAAGTTGCCGACCACTTTGATGGGATTTAGGTATAATACCACCGAGAGACCAATTAACTCCAGCCATCTCCGCTCGTGCAAGGCGTTCTGGGGACAACGGGCGGGGTGAGCAGGCGGGCGATAAAAATAGACGGCGTTGTTTTCATCATTGAATGCGGCGGGGGGAATAGACATTTCTCACCAAGACCATTACATTTCTCACCAAGACCATTCGTCACCTTTTCTGAAGAGTGTAATAACCGTTTGGTGTATTCAGCTGCGGTGGATATCACAGATATATTGCGCAGAGCGCCGGAACGGCAGCCGCCCCTGGTCGGGGATTAGGACATGCTGTCGATGGTAACTCACCTCGCCGTCCACCGGGCTCTCATGGAGACGTGCACCAATTTTTTAATGGCTCATGTCTGAGAAATACCTTTACCTCTCAGTCGCCGTACACGACCCCAATGGCAACTCGCCGTAACCCCGATTCGTCAAAAATATGGACGCACCTTGAACCCCCCCTCCGCAGACCTGTAGAAAACAGCCCAGCACCACGCCAGCCATACGGGCAGCCAGCACAACAGCACGACTGCGAGAATAATCTTCGCCCACTCCGTCGTCGCGCCGGTTTCGTACTCAAGCGACCACCTAGCCTCGCGCACCCAGCTGAAAGACCTCTCGGCGCTGCCGCTGCTGTCGCCGGTGCTGCTAGAGCTGGTGGTGGTCGAAACAAAGTCAACCTGGACCGTCCGAGATTGATGGCGAGGGACGAAAGCACGAAGTGAGAATCTACAGCCCTCGGTAACCAGGGGGAACACCGCTCCCCCCCCCCATTCTTCTTAACCCGCAACCAAAACACGAAGCTTCACATTTCAATGGGGTACGCGTTCATCGCTCTGAAGGCCGCGCATTCACCTCGAATCGGTGGAGCTGTTCGTGTCGAGAACCTGGATGTGTGGGGAACCTGGATGTGTGGGGTCTTGCTGCTCTGGGAGTGGTGCAATGGACGTGCGAAGCATACCTGAACTCGATACTGCCGAACGAGAGCTTGCCCCCGGATGGTGTCCTGGTTCTGGTGGAAGTTGAACAGGGCGTACGCTCGGTTTTCGGGAAGGCTGCGGACTCGAGCAGAGATGTTCTCCTGGCAGGCGGAAACAAGAAGAGAACATTGGGGAAGTTAGCGGAGGACTTCATCGTCCACCTACACGCCGCGTCCGTTGTCACAGTCGAGGAGCACCAATTGTGTCGTTAAGGAGAAGAAATCAGCCTGTCCCCGGAAGAAATGGATCAAAAGGCTACCCAAAACCACGGTTACGACCGACCAGCGGCGAAACAAGGCGATAGAACGGAGGATGCAAACCCGTTCTTACCTGGAATAGCACAGGCTGCCAACCACCCTCGCAGGTACCCCACTCTAGCTCCGCCTGGGTACTGCTCTCGCCTACCTCCGCCGTCACCCCCGCCACGCACACGCCTCCAAAGCGATGTCCACTGTGGCCGGGTCGGGCAGAGACTCTTGTACCTCGGTGTCGGCAAATGATACGTGCAGGGATACGCTCCCGGATAGGTCCGTCATGCCCGAAAACTGGCCGGAAAACACCGCCCCGTACCGCTCCTCATCAGCATCCGTCAAGGAGGACGAGGTCGACGATGATGACGACAGAAGGGGTGAATCGAGGGGCAGCTCGGACAGGCCCGGCGAAAGCACCGTGCATCCCGCGGCGGACGGCGAGTGCGGGTCGGGGCCCTCAGCTCCGATGATGAAAATGTCTCCTTCTCCCCGGCTGGTGGTAGCGGTGGCCGTGGAAGATGAGCCCCACCCGCAGAGCTCGCCTGCCCCGTTCCCAGCCCCCGGACCCATGGTGAGGGTAGAGGTCCCGCGGAGGTGGAACCGCACGATGAGGACCACACCGCAGGCGAAGACGAGGTAGGTCAAGACCAGCAGGGAGATCACCAGGGCCGCCGGCATCACTTCCATCAGACTGGCTCGGACTGAGTCGTGAGCCTCACGTTCTTGGTGTCGATTTCGTCCTCGAGGACTGTTACGAGGACAGGATATGTTTCATTTTCGTCGAGACGGGCGAAGGACGACGGGGGGGGTTGAGAACATCGAGTCGCCGGTCGATCGCTGATTCAGGAATGCGAGTCATTGGGGTTGGATGGGGTTGGCACAACGTGTTCTTGTCTGGCTTGCTGCAATATTTCAAGAAACGGCACGGCTAAACACCCCACCGGTGGGGTAATTTCTTAACCACCCGGGTGGTTTAGGCTTAAACACCCCACCGGCTGTATCTCGCTCTACAAGACTCCAATCAGCTCAGGACTTCAATGGGTGTGCTGCTGCGTTGCAGGGCTATCATTGGACCCATCGTGAGGCCGAAACGGCACAGTTTTCGTTGTGCCACGGTTGGTGGGGCATATACCGCCGCTACCCCACTGGTGGGGTCGATAACGTTATTGACCCCACCAGCTGGATCTCCCTCTACAAGGCTCCAATCGACACACAACCACCTGTAGGAGTGTGTGGTCGATGCCCGCACAGCGCACAGCAGCGGGCAGCACCTGGGGCGCCGAACAGGTCAAGAAATCCCGCCGCACGACGCCAAACACCCGAAGTGGGTAGCGAACACTGCCTTCTATTCTCTTGCAGGCAGACTTCCCCACTGCCGTATGTAGTCCAATCGACACAAGACATGTACGAATGTATTGCTGCTTTGCAGGGCTATCGTGGGATCCATGGTGAGGTCGAACGCTGAAGGTGTGGTGGTGCCACGGCCGGTGGGGTAAACAACGCAATGCATAGTGTATGCCCCACCGGTGGGGTGGATAAGGCAAAACACCCCACCAGCGGTATCTCGCCGTACAAGACTCTAATCGAAACACAAGCGCCATGGTTAGAGCGTGCTGCTCATGCACACACCGCGTACATCACACAGTACACAGCACACAGCACACCGCACACAGCAGCTCTGCGCCACTGCACCACTGCAGCACAGCAGGCTAGACACACATCACAAGGGGGAGGGGGGGGACTGTACAAAAATCCCGCCGCTTGGCCGCATGGGTAAAAACCTGCGAACCTGCGGTCGCTGGGATCGTTTTCTGTGGGGCGATCAGTCCAGCGTATCAGCACCGGATCCGGGCCCATTCAATACGCCAGCGTATCTATTAGCGCATATCACCGGCAACATCCATGGCGAACTCTCAGCTTCAGGTGCTGGCAAAGGTCCGTGGGATGCTAGACTTTGTCCTCCACCCGTCTTCTCCTGACACGGGTGGCATACATACCTGCCGAAGATTAGACGCTGCAGAAGGTGACGGAGTGGATGTCCAAGCAGGAAGATCCTATTGACGACGAACTGCTGCCAGATGCATCCCAGGTGTGTGCTTAACGTCGGGTCCATGATTGATGCTCCAGGCGCAATGATTGACGAAGGTTTTTGTTTTTTTCACCAGACTGCAAACGGCAAACGGACTGCAAAAAAACCGCACTGCAAAACATCTGCACGACGTTGTTGTATGGAGATGGGGTAGCAGCCTCGTATCGGAAAGATTGAACTATGATCTGCTCGTAGCAGCATGGTTAATTCCATCTGGTAGGTAGATATTTTTTTGCTCTGTTGTGCCATTCGTGCCCCATACATATGTGTCGCTGGTTTCATGCGGGGAGTCGACAGGGTAAATGCAAGCATGGTAAACTTAAACGTACGCTCTCCGTTTCATAATTAATTCATCATCAGCTTCATTCTCGTAATGTCTCAACATTGACGATAAACTCGATAGTTTATGGCCGTAATGTATTCTCCTCGATTCCCGTCCAGACCGCAAAGGAGCTTCTGGCGAAGGGCCTGTTTAAGGACAAGTTCACCGCGGCTCTCCTTAACGGGATTGAACCCGACGATGGTGAGGGCTTGTGCACTCCGTTCGAGAGCGAGGGCAACGGCCACTGCTTGTTGAATTCGGTGGCGGCATTCTTTGCCAATGAGGGAGGTCGAAACGCGAACCTGGCATGTACTGCGATCACACGCTGGATGCCCAGGGACGATTGGTGGATGTTTTTTGGGCTACCGTCCAACAGCAAGAACAGATTGCAAGATTTGGGGGCTGCATACAGCTGGATACAACGGTGTTCACGAACAGGTGCACACAATACCCCCTTCGACAGGTTGCATGTCTCCACAGCAAATGTGGGACCGCTCGTTACGCTACGCTGCTCATGGTTGCCCTTTAAAATCCACGCTCGTCGTTTATGGTCGGGGTATTTGGTGCTGCAAGGAGAAGTATCAATGCGTCATGTAACTCGGGCTGATTGTTTGTCTGTAGGTACGTGTGCCCTCTTCTGTTCGTCGTGGGCGTCGACGACGAGAATCGCAGCTGCATTTTGGGGCAGGGCCTTCTGCGGTCTGAGTGTACGGAGACGTTCGAATGGATCCTGAACAGATATGAGGCCGCTGCCGGTGGGCGGAAGTCGAAGGTGACCCTCTTACGATGTTCACAACACTCATTCATGGCGTACATGTAGGACGAGGTCAGGATGATGTACAATAAAAAGCCGCTTCGCAATAGGAACAAATAGACGTCTATATTTGTTGAGGCATGTACTGCAGACGCAGAAGAGCTTGTCTAGTGGCTTTCGACATAACGGCGCCGTCCATGGCCTATCCCATCCGTTGACAAAGTACATTTACCCTTTTCCACAGGTGATCTTGACCGACGCTCATCTTGCAATGACGGCTGCAATAGCCTCTTGCTGGCCAGGGACGCTGCATTTGCACTGCTTGTGGCACGTCTTCACGAACGTCCTCAAGCACTGCTCGTCATCATTTGCTAACAATGACGACAAGACCGACATGATGCGTTGCTTCAGAAACGCAGCTCTTATGCAGCTCCCAGGTACGATGTCATTCACTCGTAGGTTGCCGCCACATGACGGCCCCGCGAGAATGCATTCGTCTATCCCACCCGTTCGCCCCACCACAACGAGCGGTAAACATAACCTTTGGCGTGTCTTGTGTCTACCACTGTCTTCGGTGGCAGGTGTTTGCAACACAAGTGGCCCGGTTGGAGCAACTTGTGGCCGGCAAGAAGTGCAAAGGATACATAGCGGACTTGATCAAGTGAGTAACTTCCCTCCGTACATTTCGAGGAAGCGCCGTAATGCTCTGGCTTGAGCCATCGATGCCGCGTCTCTTCACTCGATATTCACTAATTCACTCTGGTACCCGCGTCGTAAACCGTCGTAGGAACAAGACCAAGTGGGCGTTCTGCTACCGGCCCACTGTCCTCATGCTAGGCATGGTTGCTACTTAGCGCACGGAAGAGTTGTTCGGGGTGGCGAAACGCTCGGGCGTCGACAAAAAGCTATCTCTGTGCGCTCTTTGGGATCGCCTGCAACGTCTCAGCAAGATGAATGCCATAGAGACTGCGAGGTGAGGTTGTCTGTTGTTTTCGTCACCCATGGCTGCAGGTGGTATCCGCGTGCTTCGATTTATGGGATATTCCGATGTGCTCCACAACACGCGAATTTGTCTCTACCTGCAGCTACACAGACTGGTGGCGGATCGGCATTGTGTGCGGAATTCTCTCGCCGTTAAACATTATGTAACACTGCGTTTCATTCATGCCATGCATGCAGGTTAGCGACACCCCCCCTTGCCGCTGGCGTGGCCTTCCGGGATACCCACGTGAAGAATTTCTTCAGATCCGTGAAGCAGGAGCCCCTAGCCTGTGGTGCTAGCCAGTACTGCCAGCAAGTGAGTCGTGTTCTGGCGTATGGATCGTTGCCGCTGTTGAATTCGTGCGGTGGTGTGTCCGTGGTTTACCAAGCTTAAGCACAAGCAGACACCATCCAGTCGAACTGAAACCCCATCCAACACATCTTCGTACTGTCGAACCTCATTCTGTCGCAGGAGGTCAGAGCGCAGCTCGACGAAGCGCAGTGGTATGACGCCGAGTTGGTGAATTCAGGTCGTGAGGACGAGAATGGGGACCCGCTGCCTCTCCATGAGCACGACCTCGCCAAGATTCGCTCATTGCGCCTCAAGCTCAACATTCTTCAGGTCGCGCCACCTTATACCGATCTCGAGGGAGACCAGTTAGCCGGCGAAGCTGCGGTGGACAACACTATGTGGGCGCGTACGTCGCTGTCAGCCTTCTTGGATTTAATCGTGGATATACCTATCGAACTGGTCGTGGCCGTTCGATACAAGTGGACGGCGAACAGACCTGGCCACTCGTGGTGTTCGGACCTGACAACTTCCACTTATGTACCTGTTTACAGCTATTGCGGCGCGGCCTGCCGTGTAGGCGCTACTTTGCGGTGCTTGTCAACCTCATCGGGAGAACTGGCGAAAGCGACAATATGTCCTTCACCCATACCTTCAACGGCGCATGTGTCCACAACCGTTGGCGTCGAAGAGAAGATGGCGAAGATTCGCCGTGGAGCATATCATCGGTGCTGTCGTCGTCAGGCCACGGCGTAGGGTGGGACGGCCATGACGAAGGCAGCGACGAGAACTACTGGGACCGACATGCGACGAAGCGGTGGATGGCATACATCCTGCTGAACAGGGGCGCGCCGCGCAGGATAGAAGCGCTTCCGACAAGCGTCGAGTCTACGCCCATCTGATGGCGAAGAGCAAGGAGCTTGTAGGAGATGTAATGAGGTCCGTGCCCCTGCATCAAGCGCTGTCCGTCCAGGACAAGGTTGGGGACTTTCTCCGGTATCTTCTCAACTCGTCCGCGGGAGGCACAGGCGTCCAAAACCCTGGAGAAGCGTCCAACAAGGGGAGGCCGAAAAAGGACGGTGGAAGGCAACCTCTTCAGCATCGATCGGGGGCCAAAGAGGAACCCGGAAACCCGGAGGGGCAGCAAGGAAAGTCCCGTCAGACCAAGAGGATAAGGGACTTCAACAACGGGCGCCGGTCGACGAAGAGGAGTAAACACGCGGAGCAGAACGGCACTGGAATTTGATCCACACGATTTCCACGGTAGTGTCCTTTTCAGAGAGTTGGGGGGCATATTAGAATGTCCGTGTTCCGGGGGGTAACGAGATCGGCGTAACGAAAGAGGGTTCCTTGAATATACGAGACACCAAAAATCGGGGACAGCAGGGAGCCATGCCTTGGCTGCGGCTGGCTACAATCCGTCATGAACTACTTTTTTCGTGTGGCGAGACACAACCGAACGCTCATGACCGCAACTGGAGGTTCCAACGGGTTTAACCTGTGAGCGACAACCTTCCTGCTTGCGCTCCGTCTACTTTTGCATCGCTACTTGCAGCGCGGCGATGATGGACGTATGTACGTATCTAGTATGCATAGCGGCTTCAGTACACTAAGAATATATCACGTCGCCACACATAAAAGAGAGCGCCGACTAACGGGCATGGTGTTTCCAATGCATGGTGCATGCAAGGAACAGCAACAATATACGGAACGGATACGAAATGCATACATAGTCTACATGTGTATACCTCAAACAACTGCTGTGGATATTCTACTGTACATAATTGAGGAAGGCAAGATTTCCCTGTGCGGAGGGATTTGTTGACTTGTTCCCCCCCGCGTCTGCTGCAGTGGTGCAGTGGCGCAGAGCTGCTGTGTGCGGTGTGCTGTGTGCTGTGTACTGTGTGATGTACGCGGTGTGTGCATGAGCAGCACGCTCTAACCATGGCGCTTGTGTTTCGATTAGAGTCTTGTACGGCGAGATACCGCTGGTGGGGTGTTTTGCCTTATCCACCCCACCGGTGGGGCATACACTATGCATTGCGTTGTTTACCCCACCGGCCGTGGCACCACCACACCTTCAGCGTTCGACCTCACCATGGATCCCACGATAGCCCTGCAAAGCAGCAATACATTCGTACATGTCTTGTGTCGATTGGACTACATACGGCAGTGGGGAAGTCTGCCTGCAAGAGAATAGAAGGCAGTGTTCGCTACCCACTTCGGGTGTTTGGCGTCGTGCGGCGGGATTTCTTGACCTGTTCGGCGCCCCAGGTGCTGCCCGCTGCTGTGCGCTGTGCGTGCATCGACCACACACTCCTACAGGTGGTTGTGTGTCGATTGGAGCCTTGTAGAGGGAGATCCAGCTGGTGGGGTCAATAACGTTATCGACCCCACCAGTGGGGTAGCGGCGGTATATGCCCCACCAACCGTGGCACAACGAAAACTGTGCCGTTTCGGCCTCACGATGGGTCCAATGATAGCCCTGCAACGCAGCAGCACACCCGTTGAAGTCCTGAGCTGATTGGAGTCTTGTAGAGCGAGATACAGCCGGTGGGGTGTTTAAGCCTTAACCACCCCACCGGTGGGGTGGTTAAGAAATTACCCCACCGGTGGGGTGGTTAAGAAATTACCCCACCGGTGGGGTGTTTAGCCGTGCCGTTCAAGAAAACATTAACATTGCATATGTAGACACTCTATGGATCGTGTGTAGTCAATTAATTGGTTACTACGCACCCGTCGTGGCGATCGCCTAGTTGTGAAACTAGAAAAAAGCTGTTGCTCGTCGGTTGTGTTCCACTTCATCTCGGGAATGAACAGTGCGATTCTGCGGCGGAAAGCGATAACTCGTGAGAACGAATATTCACGGTCGGGGAGCAGGGAGTAATCAGCCCTTGATGCCTCGTCGTCGAGAGGTGAGATAAAACATACCATGGTACTCCGTAAGTGCTTGTAGAATATTTTCTTCTGCTACTTTATAAAATACCGCTATGCCCGGAAGAATCGTGTGCCCTGTCGACTGCCGCCAGTCAAGATTGGACGAAAACTGACACCTTCCCACCCGACCAGAACGAGTTCATTTGTTCCGCGGCGATAAATGAATTGGTTGCGCGGCCACCACACGAACAGGATTCCCTGCTCACACTTTGCCACCAGTAGTAACAGTGAAAAAGTACCGCTTCAGATTCAACAGATTGTGATAACTTAACTCACCCTGCATGAGCAGCCTGGGTCCCGGTGTTTGTCGGCCGTACTCGGCGTACGTATCGGGTATTGTTTGTGTAGTGTATTAACTTCAGACGGTGAGGCAACGCCCGTACCCAGGGCGCTGTCGTGCTCAGAAAGGAGGAGTGGCAGCAGGGCTGCTGCACACAACAAAAGGGGGCCCCGGTGCATCATCACCGTACCCCTACCTAAAAGGTTCTACACCATCTGCGTCACACTTGTACGTACGGCTAACATATCCAAACCATGTCCGTAGACCCACGAACACCCTCCCTGGTTCTTCACGCAAGTGACTTACCATCAGTGGGGCAAAAACACCCCGGATACATCAATAAAATGCCAATACGGTGGTCGAGGGGAAACCCGGCGCCCGGGCAAAACCCCTCGAAAATAAATCCCATCCAACACAAACCATTGCTATCACGGCGGATCACAACGGCCGCACTTATCGGGAAGGCCGAGGCGAAGACAAGAATGCGAGGCAAGCCTCCTACGCCTGCCATTGGGACACAGCCCGCGACAGTAATGCATCTTTCCCCGCATGGTATACATGACCTTCCCCAAGCGCTAGAAAATCCTACAGAAGCTCCGGCAAATTCATCAGCTTTTTCCGGTGGTACTGCAGGTTGCTCTTGCTAAGAGCCTTGGTGAGCATGTCTGCATGTTGCTCCGACGTCGACACAAACTTGATCGAGATGTCACCCGACCTAAACAATCCACGAATGAAGTGGTACCGCACGTCGATGTGCTTGCTACGCGCTGAGCTAAGGGGGTTCTGCACCAAAGCCATGGCCCCCTGATTGTCCTCAAGGACCTGAATGCTACCGCCGCTGGTCCCTGGGGCAATAAACGAAAGCACTGCACGCACAAACAAAGCTTC